TGACTTAAGCAGAGCCGCATGCTGTTATATTACCGCTTGCACCGTTTCTGAAGCGGAGGGTCGAGTTTGTTTTAAAAGGGGGTCTGTTGAAAAGTAATAAATAAATATATAATATGGGTACAAAATATTCTTTTTTTTCCAATATTCAAAGGAATTAATAATTATAGTGTAGTGTTATAAAACTAAATTAAAATTGTACAGTGACGGGGTCGCAAGACTATTGCGACTTTTTGGCTTTCTCGTCGCGACATAAAAATGGTTGACAAACGATGGCATAGAGAGTAGAAATCCAATGTTGAAAAGGATAATTTGTGCTATGGAAACAAATCGTTATCGAATATTCATATCGTAGTGTCCTATTCAGTACTAATTGGAAGGTCATTCTTAGAATATTTTAAGCTATTTTTGTCATGACGTTGCTGAAAGACTTGTATCTATTGTCATGTCATAAATTAAAAACCCTGCTGTCACTTGAAGGTGACCTTCAAAACAAGTTATCCATCGGTGATTTTGACGTTTCTATTCTAAACTTTGAAAATTATTCTGATTTGAATTTTCTACCCGCGTAGACATGTTAATTATAAAAAGAAGAAATTCATAAATACCCTTTACGGCGACTTTCCTGTGTTAAACATCAAATTGTGCCACGTAATAAGTGAAGTTTTCTGTGATAAACCTATCAATAAAGATTCTTTGGCGGCGTATTCTTCTTTTAAAATCGTATGTACCTAAACTTTTTACTTTCTTGGCTTACAAGTCTTTCATTGAGTATCTATAAATAACTTTATCACCTGTTATTGAATGAGCTCGTGTATTAAGTATATTTTATATTACGTCTTCCATACACGTGTGATGTAATTAGGTGCCGGTAGACCGGTATTAATTTACGTAGGGTAGTAAAGTTAAGCGACAACAATTTATGTTTTAATTATCATTTATCAAGTATAACAAAAATCTATAAAATGTGATCATAAATTATTATTAGTATTGTCCTGTGAATAAATAAGTTGACTAAAATTATAATTATATTAGCTATCAAGCCTAACTGACTTTGGAAATAACCTTTACATTTATTTAATATTTAAAATTAATAAAATATAACTAAGTAGGTGTTTGGTGGATGAATATTTTTTTTCCTTATGATTTTGATTTTTTTTATTTTCTTTTCTATTATAGACAACAAGTGTTTACTGGCTTTGAATTTCATTAAACATATTCATATTAGATATTTTTCATATTCACATTTAATGTTAGGATTGTAATTTTAGTTTTAGATGTTTTTCACTTACATTAAATAATTATTAAACATATTTTATTATGCTTTTTTCTCCTTCATTAAGTGCAATAACTTATGTAAATTATGTATAATATATTCATAGTTAAACAATGCTTGATAATTTCAAGTTAGATCTTATAAAAAACAAATTAAGTTTGACTATATTCCAAAATAGATATTTCAATTATTAAAAAAGAAGAATGTAATCATCCAACATATGTTTTGTACTCCAATAAGAAATTAACATAAAACAAATATAGATTATCATTTATCTGTAGTTAAAAGTCAGGGCCATGTGATAAAGCATATTATAGATGTATTATTAGGTTGAGGTATTCCAAAATGATTCTAAATAGCTATTTAATAACTTTAATTACACATTGATAAGAACCAGAAAATCAGTAATTTTATGAAATGTGCATAACACTATCATACCCTACCACTTGGTTACTTATTTGTAAATGCACAATCTGGCTCTTTCTAAGATTCACAAAAGTACAAGTGCCTTTTAATTTAATGGTACTCATGTGTTTACTAAAGAGCAAGTTAGTAAATTCAACTTGTCCTGGTATATTAAGCTTACTGCTGTTCGGATAAAATACTTTTCCAGGCGAGATTGTGACCCCACATACAAGGTAACCGTGATTACTAGTACTCTATTGATGGGATTGAAAAATTGTAAACGATTTTGTCGTACAACGATCATATGCACTCACACACTGTAAAATTTACAGTGTTTTTTTGTTTCATATTGCTTAGTTGCATTAAATGTAAAACACCGATTTTTAGATCACATTAATTGTACGATAAAAATCTTATGGGAAAAATATTAACGGACCGGACTGGATCGTCACATACCTATAACATGCAGCATGCGTATCGCGGTAACTTGACCAGTAGGTCTTCCTTCATTTCGACCAGGTATTAAACGTTAACGTAAAATGACCAGATACTGATCAAGAGTTCTGACCGCTCTAGGCTATTTGTCAGGATGCGCCCCCGCCAGGTGACAGATGTGTTCCCGGTCCATCTAAAAAGTAGTTTTGACTTTGTTTTCTAGTGTGAAAATTTTAACATGGCTATCTATAAACGATTTCAGATCGATCTGCAAGCGAAACTAACGCTGTCCTTTAATTTGCACACTTTGAAACCATTTTTTAGCTGACTTAAAGTCTACTTACTTACTAACTGTCTTAAAGTGCACTTTAAGACAGGTCTCTTTACTTTGAATTTTTTCCAGTTCACAGTTTATTTAGTGTTTTGTCTCGGTCTAGTTGGAATATGCAGGGGACTATACTAGCGAAGACACGATTTTAGCGCGCCCGCGCCCCTCTAGATCGTCGCGCCCTAGGCTGCAGCCTAATTAGCCTAAGGGTTAATCAGGCCCTGAAAATGACAGCCATATTTTATTCATGTTCTACATCCCTGGTCGTAACGCGCAATATTCAATACTAATAAAAATCATACAAATATTTGACGCAGAGGTTTTGTACTAGACGTTGTTTTGTTAGACTCATGGTATAGCTACAGTCTACAGATAGGTTTATATACAGACCAGTCATAGACAAAACAAATGTTTATATTTTACATTTAACTGGTAGGTTAGTAAGTCTAATATTGTAATAAATAAAATTATGGCCTGCATATATCCTAATACTCACAAAACGGTTTATATAACTACTTTTGTTGCGGTTTTTAAATTTATGTTAATCTACTAGAATTAAAATTTCAATGGAATACATATATGCGACCTTTATGACATTAAAAATTAATTGTTTGCGCAGATTTATAAAATCAATAATATTTGTTACTTTTAAACATTATCTACATGGCTATGTATTATATGGAGCAACACCATTCATCATTTCATAGACATTTTCTTCTTAGTTACAAATTATTAAGATGCTGTTTTTACTTTTACTAAAATATGTATCTAGTAACATTTATTTATACTATAATTAGCTCGTAATTTAGCTACTTACATATTAATATATAAATTACTTTGTTAAGATTTTACTTCATTTTAGTTATAGTGTTACATGTTCCGGGAAGAAATCGCTTGTTAGCGATAAGGCCGCCCGTTGCCTAATAAATAGTAACCTGCTTTTTTATATATTATGTATGTTTTTGTACAAGGTAACGAAGTGTAAATAAATAAATAATTCATTACAAGATTACCTAGCTTGAGCTAGTGGCAGCGTGTGAATTTTATCCATGAGGTCGTAAGTACCAACCCCGGCTGTGCACCAATGGACTTTTCGCCTTTGTAAGCAATTACCACTCTGTTGTACCGTGTACGGCGAAGGAAAACATCGTGAGGAAACCGGTATGTCTCAGACAGAAGACTGATTACCTACTTTTCTACGATATGTATTATTATTAAAATAGAGTAATATTCGGAGTCGGGACTTAGCCATAGTACCCATTTGCTACGCACTGATTTTTCAGTAGTTGTTAACGTAATCAAATACGTAGACTGGATACGATTGCCCTCATGTACGAATAACGAATGTATTTAAATTATAGCCAGCATGAATTCGATTAATTTTGTAAAAAATTTAAATTCGTAGTTTTTGTTGACGATTTTTAGAGCTTCCGGAACTTTGAGGAACAAAAGCATCTGTTCAAATTTCTCTATTATTTGAATGGCTAGCGTTCATAATATAGAGCAATAAAACTATTAAGTAGTCTTTTTTTTTTTGTTTGACTGATTTCTCACCCGCTCTATGCACTTTTTCAGAACTGGTATTAAATGTTTATTTATTTATAAGTAATCTTACAGCTATCACTAAGCAGCAGCATATATCCATAAAAATAAAACACTTAGACAATATACACATCCAAAACAGATTACATTGATAAACAAAATATATGTTAATTTAGATCTTCCTTTTTAATTATTGACGTTCATAAGTGTGCATAGTTACCGATATGAATAAACAAATTTTGATTTGACCTTGATCTAATCAGTCATTACGTAATATTAGCATATTTTAAACATTTGCATATTAACAAAGTTCATCACCGGATGATGGGCCTTGGATTATTGCCAAAGTTGACGTATATGTTTGCTGTTTACATACATATCGTCAAAGTTATGGTTTAAAGATGACATATCCTTATTAAATATAGATGTGACGTATTCGATTTGGGAGATACAGGAACCATTTATTGAAGACACGAAATGACGACGTGTATGCATTGATTAACTGAATTTTAAAAGAATTTCAATAGATCAGAAGTTGTTCTTCAAATGACCTTAACGTGGTGTGAATGAATGTTTTGTTGCGTTTAATAGCTTCGACTTACGTTAAGCCATATATTATACTACAGAGATAGAAACAATAATGATATTAATTAAAAAATATGTATATTTAAAGCCACAAATGCTGGCGCGGCCGGAAACCAGGCGGAAAATACAAGTCTCTCTGCCATCTTTGATTTTGTTCCCTTTGGAATAGACTTTTGGCGCTAATTAAATATTTAAGTTGGCGCCTAGTACTTAGTACTGGTGACCCCAAGGCCGGTGGTTTCCACGCTCAACGAATATGTATTGTAATACTGCGAGGAATTGCTGCCAGCATTAAAGGTACACTACCTCGGCGACCAAACCTTTTAATTTAATTTTAGTCTTCTATTTTTAATAAATTAGTATTATGTAGGTTAAGAGTGTAAATAATGTAATTAGCTTTAAAATATAGTATCATTAATATTTTCAGACAACATGTCTCGAGATAGATCGTCCCGACGCTTTTACCGGTCCGAGTCCACACATGATCTCCTGTCCTACATGGACCGCGGGCAGGCGGCTAGTAACGAGAATCGCTGGACCTTCGAAACCGCCTGGGAGGCTGCAAATAAAGGTACTTTTGATACACTAAAAAACATTGTATCGATCGATTATCATTAGATCATATTAGATATATGTCAACGCGTTCGTTGCCTATTATATTAGTAGAGAATACGAAGTTCAACCTACTGTTTCAATCAAACCAATCATTAGTTCGGATCTCTATGTCGCAAGTTTCTCGCATTAAAATTTCAATTTAAAGTTTTGGAAGCCCACCCTTTATCAACATGATCTGTAAATTCGTGGGGTTCTGTAAATTGATTTCTCAATAATCAAAAAAACGAACAACAGATATCCCTCAATAAAAGTGATTTGAATTTAGAATGTGGATATCAGTGTTTCCAGCACCAAAGAGATTTTTTTTGTGGAGTTCATGGCCTGGTATCCTTTAGGCCAACCACCAAAGAGATCTATCGCGAATATAATTGATAAATGTTACTGGCTGCTATTTAATAATCCGCGCGCGGACCTATTAAAAAAAAAGTTTCTGTGGAAGAAAAAAATAAGTTAATTAATTGTTCAAATTAAGATTAAATTACACTCTGCGTGATATTCAAATAAATAAACATAATCATACTTTATGCGTTGCACTTATTTTATAGTAGACTTTAAACATATTATCGCTCTAGTCTGAATTCCAAAAACACTCGCACAAAAACAATGGCGTACGCCATAGGCAAACAGTTTACTATTTTATATTCATCTATTTCACAATTTCTAGTCTAGTCTAAGTCGCAAGTGATTCTAAGCCGAAAACCAGTTACGTTCTCGCTCTGAATATATACAAAAGATGCATTGTCTGAGCCTTGCTCCTGCGTTTACAAGATAATATCTACGTCATACGATAGGAGTAAAAAATATATGATCCTTTCAAATCATTTCTATCAAATTAAATTTAAAACTTTTTAACCGACCGCGATTATTACTAGTTATGACTACCTTATATAAAAATCTTAGTTTCTAAATTTTTCTCCAAGATCCTTGTCAAATACGCGCATGGTCCTTTTAAAGCTACTTATTTAAAATGATCATTCGGAGCCAGTCTTTTCAAGACAGTGGACCCGTTCCGAATACGACTTGAGTGCAGTAATTGGCGGCGTCATATATTTTTACGTTTTTATTATATTTTTTTGATTATTATTATTTTTAGAGTTTTTACATGTATGTTTTTAATGAGAATAAACTTCTTTAAACCTAAAGTATATGTCCTAAGATTTTTTATTAAAATCAAATGATTGTTTAATTTGGCTCCAAAACATATTCTTATAAGGATTAATATCATAAAAAACAATTCGGCAATAATGAATAATTACTTCAAAACAAATTAAAAAAAGTTGAAATGTATTGAGTTCTTGATCCTTTTTATAGAAAGCCAGTGTCAGCCAGACGTCCTCCACACATTTTTTACATAAAAAAAACATCAAATTGTAATTCTAAACCATTCTCCAATACACTTGAACACGGACGAAAAAATTTATCCAACATCATAAGATTTGTATGTATAAAGATTTAATGTTCAAATCATTATACTTGATTTTTTACAGACTTTAATAAAACCGAAAAGGGAAGTTATCTAATGTCTCTAACACATGCAACTGAAACTCGAAAATAAATTTTTAACTGTGCTTATATTTCAGTGGGTGGAATCTACACAGTGATAAGGTCCAAAGCTTATGTCTCTACCGAGGAGATGGGTGAAAACTACTGTTTACTAGGTAAGAATTTTATTTTTCGCGCTAATACATAATTGTATAATCTAAAAAATAATTACTAAATCAAGATTAGTTTTTTAAATTTTTTTGACATTTCACACAAAATTTCTTTCAATCCACCAAATTTAATACTTTTGTGTGTAGTTTTTTTTTTATGAAAACCCCTTTTTTTGTTGATCTTTTTAAAGTTTTGAATTTTAGGACCTTTCAAGGAGACTTGCGCTCGTCAAGAAGTAGAAGAACAGGACTTCCCACCAAATTCACCTCTCACAGCAGCAGTCAACGCCATGAGAAGTCAGGGATATAAGGTAGGCGAATTTCATTTATTCCGTAAAATATTTCAGATAAATATTTACATTTTAAAACAATAAACTAAATTTTTAGAATGTTACATATAAAAGCCAAATGTGAATATTTTTTTATATCTAAATTATTAATTAATTATACAATTGATTTTTTAAATTAACTCTTTTTTAATAATTTAATAAATTTAAATTATAAAAATACATTAAATGAATACTACATAACAAACTAACCATTCCTATACGACATAATGTATTTCACATCTACTTATAAAGTTGTTGCATTATACTTAAAAGCTATATTTATTATTATATATTTTTATATAAATTTTACAATTTTGCGATAATTTATTAATACTATTGGAAAGTTAATTTTACAAATCCTATAATTAACTGCTTGAATATGCATTACTTGCAGGTACACAAATAATTTGTTAAAAAAAACCTTGGCAATTGAAAAGAGGGACGGAGATGTTATAGCCAGTTCATCTCGTCCGTTCTACGTCCTTGATTTGAGAACTGACAGTATTTTTTAAATAAATTGTAATGCCACCATTTAACATTACAATCTAGTCTAACTTAGGACTGATAAATAATTAAAAACTAACCTAATTTACTAAAAAGGATATATAACATAAGAAAGTGTCCTATAACACTACTTACAGTCTCTTAAGGGAAAGACAATCTTGGTCTAAGATCCGGCTGCAGGATTGTGCGCTCATCGGTTATTTGCTAAAAACCATTTTTGCGGCCAGATTTAACTAGGCACTCATATACGATAATTAATAAAAAAATAAGCTTCAATTTGATATATAATTAATAAATGTACGTTATGAACGTATAAATGTATCGAAATCATACCTGTTTACACCTGGCTACGAAGAAGTGCGGCCAGGTGGGCAACGGCACCCGTGATTTTTTAAAATCTGTAAGTAAATTGCTGTGATGTAGACGATATTTTATTTAAATAACAAGTGAACGAAATGTTTTCCCAAAAATCAATTCAAAATAATTTCATTAAAACTACTAGCGGCCAAATTTTTATAGTCAACTTGGTAGATATCGTTTCTCCTTTATAAATATACATAAAAATTTGGTTTTTAGCAAATAACCGATGAGCGCACTAATCCTGCAGCCGGATCTCGTACTATCTGTTCTTGTTTTCTATTACTAACCTGCACTCACATTAAATCAAATGGTTTATTTGTTTTCAATATTCTCACTATGACCGTGGTGTCAAACTAAATAGCCTCGATTCACGGGTTTAGGAGATTTAGAACCATGTTTTACTAACGTTTATAGTAAACATTGAGTTACCTACAGGAATAAATAATATTAGTTTGTTTTATATAAATCGGTGAACCAATTTGTGGTGTTTTAGCACCATACATAGCAGATTCCGCAAACATTACATATACAATTTACTAATTCCAGTTACACACAGGCACCTGGCTTGTAGATGGCAACCCTCAAATAATTCTCTTTGACATCGGCTCGGCCGCGTGGCAGATGGACAGTTACAAGCAGGAACTCTGGAGCACCACTTCCATTGGAATACCACATCTGGATGTGGAAGCCAACGATGCTGTTATACTTGGCTTTATGGTTGCGCAGTTTATCACTGAGGTACGAATTTATTGTAATAATAGCGGCCTATTTTTTATATTTAGGAAATAAAGAATGAGTAAATAAATAAATGAATCCAATATAGATTCTTTGTAATAAAGTATTTTACTACGAAAAGCGAAATATTAGTTTTGTTTTAAATTTCAAACAAAAGAAAAGATGGACAGGTGACGTAATAGTTCTAGCGGGGAAAAATTGAATGAATTTTCCTCAAGATAAAGATAAATGGATGTATATGGAGTGGGCTTTACCCGAAAAGGGGCCAGACACATACAATTACTAGAATACTAACAAAACTATCCTTAATTAGAACTAAACAACTACTTCTTAAAACTAAAAAGGAAATATTGAAAGGTCACAAAGGTCCAATGGTAAGCTAAGTCTGCCAGTAGCTTAAATCAGTTTTTGTCCAAGACTTAACGCTTATAATATTATTATAATATATCTCGTTATGATATGTAATTTTTTTAAATATCGACGTTCAGAAGTGTAGATATATATATATATATAAATGAATTATCTTGACTCTAAATCTTACCCATTGATTTATTTATTCACTAAACATTACAGTTCTAAGCCCATAAATTATGTCAAAATAAAAAAAAATATAACAAAATATATTATACATAACATAACCCCCGCGAACTTCGTTTCTCCTTAATGTGATTTTACATAGCCTACCTTTTTAGTACATACCATATGGAACAATTTGCTATGCTACCTCGGAGACTGTTCGGTTTTCTGGAATGAAAACTTTTTAGGTTTTTCTGTGAATTTTTCTATATATATCCCTAAAGTTCAAGTCATAAGATTTTAATTAACAAATAAAAAATAGGGGTACATATACGATCACGTAGAGGGGTGAAAATTAAGGGTTGTTGAATTTACTTTTGTATGCTGTATCATAAAAAAACAGAAACAAAAATGTTATTAAAAAAACGAAAAATAAAAATTTAGGGTACCCTTAACATTTAGGGGTTTGAAAGATAGATAGCAGCCGATTCTCAGACTTACTGAATATGCATAAAACATTTCATAAGAATCTGTTTCGGAGAAGTATAGGAACGAACATTGTGAAATATATATATATATATAGAGATATTAAATACACAATATCGCTGTTGTATCGCGCATGATCGCTGTGTGTTTATATAATTATTAACAGGATAAATGGACGTCTGGGAGTGGGTGTTGGGTTTACGTACTCTTTTATATTATACATTTTTAGTTCCGCAAAGCTGCTGAGAAGTACAGTGATACACCACCGCGAGTTGTGGCTCATTTCCACGAATGGCAGGCTGGCATTGGTCTCATTGTTTTGCGGTATGTTCCTATTATTTACGTCCAATTTAAATAATGACAAACCAATTTCATATCATATATTTATTTATTTATAGCCTTATATAAGAAATACAAAATATATACATTATAATTATTTTTCTTAATCTACGATAATCCATTCTGTGTGCCTACGGGCAAAGGAATCCCCCATTGTCCTCCATTTTTCCTTACTGTATATCAATCTCGTCGCGGTCTTAGTCTTTCCAGCCATTTCCATAATTTCATCGGCCCACCTTTTAAATTGCCTACCTCTGTTTCTTTTATGGCCTCTTGGTTGCCATAGTGTTACAATTTTGCTCCATTTATCTGCTCCTCTTATGGTATGTCCAGCCCATTTCCATTTTAGTTCTTTTGTTTAATTTCATATCATATATGATATAATTTTTTATAAAATCGCCTTAGAAATTTTTTTAATGGTCTTGTAATAAGTATTTTTTTTACATAAAGCTAATTTACACTTAACCTACAATAATATAAATAAATAATTATATTTTTTTCTAATTAAATATATTTATTGCCAGTGTTCGTCATGTGGATGTAGCAACGGTGTTCACGACGCACGCGACCCTCCTCGGAAGATATTTGTGCGCTGGCAACACTGATTTCTACAATAACTTGGATAAGGTTTGTTATACTAAAAATACATTTTTAATTATTCGTATAGTTAATGTTGAATCTTCATATTCTCGTTCATGTGTAAGTATTTTTTTATAATCTACGAAAAAGACAAAAGCCAAAATATAAAGTAACTTATATTTTACTAAGGCCATTTTGGTTACAAATATAGACAGTTATAAGTAATAATAATTATTAAAAATGAATAAATAGAATACTAAAATAAATTTGAAAAGGTTTGGTCTCTGTGGCGATGTACCTTAAACACTGGCAGCATTTCTTCGCTGTATTGCGATACTTATTCGTTGAGCGATGAAAGCACCAGGTCTGGGGTCACCGCTACTATCTAGCAGGCGCCACCTTAACTCTTTAATTATCGCCTGAGCACTTGAACCCCACGGCCCAAAAGTATCTACTCCAAAAGGGACAAAATGAAAAACTCTTATATCTTAGCCATTTATTATTTTCCGTCTGCTCTGCGGCCGCGCCAGCACTGTAATACATATATTTATATCTTTCTAGTTCTCAGTTGACGAAGAGGCGGGAAAGAGACAGATATACCACAGATATTGTATGGAGCGTGCCGCGGCCCACATGACGCATACATTCACCACAGTCTCCGATATTACAGGTATTTTAAGAGATTTTTATATATTTTTAAATCATTTGATTTATTTAATCCTAATCTTACGTGTTTTTATTATCGAAGAAATAAATATAAAAAATAAAATTTATAATTTGTATTAATTTTCGACACTTAATATTTTATTGACAGTTAAATAGATTAAATTCCTAACATATCTTCCTTTTTCTCTCCCTATAAGTCTCGGAAATCTAAAGTTTTAGATTTGTATAAATATGAACAAGACATAAAAATTTGTTTGCCAAAGAAGTTTCACTACTGACATGTGTACTTTGTACGCACGCACTTTTTTATTTATTTATTCCAGGATTCGAAGCGGAACATCTTCTCAAAAGAAAGCCGGATTTCATAACACCGAATGGTTTGAATGTGAAGAAATTTTCAGCGCTTCATGAGTTTCAGAATCTTCACGCGTTGGCTAAGGAGAAAATCAATGAATTCTCTAGAGGACATTTCTATGGGTAATATAAATTATTTATAGCTTTTAAAGACATCTCTGGCCAGTTCTTACTTCACTATAATTATTATGCATTAACATACCAATAGGTATAGGCACAAATAGCAGGCTTTAATTTTACCGAACTAGACTATCTAAAGTTAGTCATTCTTTTTTGGGAAAAGGGATACTCTTCTTTAATAAAATCCCAGAGGCTCTATTATCTCTGCCTTTTTATAAATTTAACAAAAGGTATTAAAGAAAGGCTGTGTAAAAGGCTTACTGTAAAGTTAACGATTATCTAGTTGATAAAAGGGCTTGGGACTAGTGCTAGACAGGCTACTTCTAATTAATTTACGATATTTGTTTAAAAATAAGTGTTGTTTGACAAAGTGCTATTTTGTAAATGAGGCGTGTCATTTTAATGAGTAGGGATGCCTACCGACGATTTTAATGACGTGTATTAAAACACTTTTCTATATTCCCATACAAAATATTCGTAATAATACTTCTTTGAACTTTAATACCATATGATAGAGTAAGGGATGTGTGACGGTTTCGAAAGGTAAATTTATGATTCTTGGAATAAGTGATACCTGTTATCTTAGGCTTTCGATTTTATCTCACGCTACACCGGTATCCCAATAGCAGCTGTATTTAAAAAATAAAGATCTGTTAGCGATACGTAGTTCCGGCCAGCGTGTAATAAGAATGACGCTCAGCGTGGTTCGTTTTAGTATCGTACTGACTGCCTTACTGTACAGACGAAGACAAAAATGCGGAGTGTATTAGTTATTGATGCTTTGTACTACCTATCTCAAAAAAATAAAAACCGGCGACGACGAAGACTCCGAGACTTTGTCCGGTTATATCGCACTTTGAGGGCTGACGAAAGTAAATACTTTAATTACTTTCGAATGTCAACAAGATATTATTGTAGAGTGGATCGGATGCATCCCACAATTTCTTCCTCAGGCGTACCTCGTCGATAACTCGACCTCGATCCACTTCGCGATTTGCCATGACTGTACACGCTGACGACGTCCGCTCCGTTCGACACTACAACGCTCTCTGAAAGCAGAGGCGCTCTAGCGATAGTCGGCGCTGACAGCTACGCGGCACTGACGCGCGACGCGTACGGCCGCGCAGCCATCAGCGCTGACCACCGTGCGTGCTTATAGCTACGCGTCATTCAAAAACGCTTTCTAGAAGTTCAAATATCTCGACCATCAGCGCCGACGGTGCGGGGTGTGGTCGGCGTGACACTAAATTCAGCCTTATGTTCCATAAAAACCATATTTTATTTTTTTATTTTTATAATACAATAACTAAAATATTTTATTAAAAGATAGGCAAATAAGATACTGGCAGCGTTCCCCCTTTGAAGGTAGACTAATTCTTTCCGAGGTAGCTGCCAGCTATTCGGTCTCTTGTGATGTCGACTAACCTTTATGATATTTTTTTAAAAATCCTTATAGCGCTAGAACCAAGCGGAGCGGTTATACGCCATGCAGGTTTTAATAAGTCACATACAAATTATGTAATAATCACGAGACATTATCACATTAAATACAAAAAGCACACAGACTAGCCATGAATTTGTTTGTGTGCAATATTTTATTTTGTCATTGCAATCTGGAAAAGAATTAGGTTTTTTAGAAAAAGCATTTAAGATGGTTGATAGAATTTTTGTATGTGCTGTGTGGACCTTTTTTCTTTATATTGTACTGTGCCTAAAAAAAAAAGTTTTAGTAGGGTTTTAAAATTATGATTAATTTAATCTTTAGATGAGATTAAATATACGCTAGGCATTAACATAATTAGTAATATATATTTTTACAGGCATTTTAACTTTGATCTGGACAAAACGTTATATTTCTTTATCGCTGGTCGGTATGAGTTTGGTAACAAGGGCGCTGATATCTTCATAGAAGCACTCGCACGGCTTAATCATTACTTGAAGGTAAGATTTAATATGTATTACATTATAAACAACAATTTAACAATTTATACTATTTAAAAAGTCTATCTGAGTTTTTTATATCTGCACATTGTTTAATTATAAGACCATATTTAAATTTTGAGTGGGACGTTGCCGAACTTACAAATTAAATTTTTCAAATACGCGAAATTTTATTTTGTTTAATTTTTTTAAATAATTATCAATTACTCATAATTTGTACGATTTTTTTTTAAATGGAAACTAAAATATGACAAAATTATTAATCACGTAAAAGTTCAAGTATTTTACCATGGGACTATGTAAATTGTAATTATATGCTAAATTAACAATTATCAGTGAAGTACTTTCGAACCAATTCAACTTAGGGTCCTTTATGAAAAGAGCGTAGCAATTCTTAAAAGGCTAGTAACGCACTTGCGAGCCTACTGGAACTGTTAGTGACCATGGGCTTTCACTTAGCATCGGGTTACCACCTGCCCGTATGCCCGCCCGCTCTTAAAAAAAAAATGATATAAACCAAGTTGAAGAACAAAGTTTGAAAACAAAAGAACTTATTTGTATGATCTATTTGGTGCCATGGCATTCTGTAGCATCCAGCTTATTTTTGGTTCAAGTCAAAGGCAATGTTTTTTTCAGGCTTCCGGGTCAGAAATGACGGTAGTAGCATTTCTAATATTCCCCGCTAAGACGAATAACTTCAACGTTGAGAGTTTAAGGGGTCACGCGGTCACCAAATCCCTTAGAGATACTATACAGGATGTTCAACAGCAGATTGGAAAGAGGATGTATGATATATGCTTGAGGTACATTTAATCAATTTCCTTTATTTTATTTATCGTTAAAGATTAATTTTCAAGGCTTTTCTGAGGCTGTTTACAAACTGTGGTTTATAATGACTGTTATCACTTAAATAATTATCCTGTGGCGTTTCAACCTCATATAGTTCTAGGCATAGACAACATATACATTGCATAGACAAGTAGGTGATCAGCTTTCTGACTGACACATGTCAATCGTCAAAGTTTGAGACATGAGAGATGCACATATAGAATTGGTACACGGGTATCGAACCTACGACCTCTAAGCCAACAAGTTTTTTTTTTATAATTAGCACATAATGATGATGCTTTAAGAATCTCCAAATTTATTATATAAAATTTTATTTTATTGCACATTTATACCTCTTCCATAAACCATAGATTTATGTGAGTTGGCAAAACAAGTGTCTTGAAATGCACATCCTTAAAAACAATAAAACACTAATAATTATTATACTCACTCGCACTAGGTCAATACATTAATCCGTGTTTTAAGTACTAAAGTTTGTATCAACTCCCTTCGAAACAATTATACTAAACTATTTAACCATTATTAGTTAATGGAGCTACATTGTATGTACATTAAACCCCCTTATAACACGATACTCTTATTAACGGTAACGCATTTTCATTTAAGCGATATCAGTCTCGCGTATAAACCGGGGATTGCACACGTATTTCTGTACTGCCACATTTATAATGATTTTTGCGCACATATTTCGTTCATAACATAGTTTTTTTATTAATATTTCCTATTAACGAGAAAAGATAAACGAAAAAAAAAATTACGTAACGCGTTATACGGGGTCATGCAAGCGCGTTATGCGAGAATACTCCTACAACGTTTCCTATTACGCGGAACCAATCTACCGTGCTACAGGAGGGATCTCTTTCCCTCAAAAAACAACACATTATTTCATAGACAGAGACGAATGAGTTAATACTTTTATAAATTACTATTATTATATTACTATACTAATTTTTATATATAATTTCAGAGGCCATCTCCCCGACACATCAGCCCTACTACAGAAGGAAGACACAGTTCGCCTAAAAAGATGTATTTACGCGTTGCAACGTGACGGTCTTCCGCCCGTTACGACCCACAATATTGTTAGTATCATCCACTTAATAAGCCAGTGGCGCTACAATCCTATACTTTGATTTTTCATTCCGTAGAATTCTGACATTTCATAACTGTTGCTACTAAAAAAGTTCTCCACCGAGAAAGGGACAAATTTGACCCATTTGAGGGCAATAAAAAATAAAATTCGACGTATTTTTTATGTTTTACCTACAAAAAGGTAAATCACTCAAGTGACCTACTACAAAATATTTCAATATCACGAACAATATATAAAATTAACTTTAATTACTTACTGGGAAGACAGATGCCTCTCTTAGGGCGCTAACCAATATTTACTTGTTCAAATCAAATCAAAATATCATTGACCATATGAAAAATTAAACATACTTCAAATACTGTCGACAAATCTCCAGAAATGTGAGAATCTTCCAGAATATCCAAAACTTGGGACTGTTCCCTAAGCTAAAACCAGATTTAATTAAAGTCGTATCTCAATATGACTTAGTTTCCGATTTGTGAACAAACATACAAAGCACTAAATAAATAATACTAAACTTCCTTTTTAGAAGATTATATATGTGATTATTCTTTAGGTCGAAGACTGGAGCGATCCAGTTCTCAACTCAATTCGAAGGTGTGAACTTTTCAATACAGTGAATGATAAAGTTAAAGTGAGTAATTTTTTTCATAAAATCCCATATTATTTAACTTATTTGTTGTTATATATATTATATATTCTTATATATATGAATTCTGAAGGTAAATAAAATATATCACTAAAACATTCATAAAATAATTAATAATTAATGAAATTAAATGGATTCATTTTTTAAAGTTCCTTTTGTATTCAAGTTGTACAAAGTTTTTGTCTCATTCTGACAAATGGTGATTGCGCCGTCATGAAAAAGGGACAGTTGAGAGGTAAAAATTATATACTTCTAGGTTATATTCCACCCGGAATTCCTTTCTTCCACCAACCCCTTATTTGGTCTGGACTATGAAGAATTTGTCAGAGGTTGTCATCTTGGCGTCTTTCCTTCATATTACGAGCCATGGGGTTACACCCCTGCCGAATGCACAGTTATGGGTATACCTAGTGTCACAACTAATTTGTCTGGTGAGTATAATAAATTTTCTTTGGCTAATTATTAAACTTTTCGTCGGGAGGTATATTTTATATTATTTATTTATTTCTGTTGACAACTTTTTATATTTTATTGACAGTAAATAAGAGTTTCTAAAACAAAAACGTTTTTTTTAAATTTTATTCAATTTCCGGTTTCCTCTTGTCTATATATATTCTATGTAGTAAGACTATATTATTACACAACATAGAAAAAAAGGAATATTATATATATATATATTTTATTTATTTATTTTACAAAATAATATAATAAAATCATAATATGTTATATTAGAAAACCACTGTCATTGTATGTGACAAATGTAACCATAGCAGTCTTGTTTAGAAGCGCGACAAATGCATATAAAATTAGTTTTTTATTTCCTTACGATTATTTGTTAAAAATTTCTTTGTAAAAACTCAAAGTAATATATAGTTTGTATCCGTTAGAACGGATATTTTGTAATGTTCTATCAAAAGTGGTGAGTTCTACTGCCATGTGCGACCCTCAAATTCGGTCCTTAGACCCAAAAATTCGCACGTGTGACACAGAAACCTATCACCTACTTACTCAGACGTCTGAGGCGAATACCAAGGGTTGTTGTTTTCTAAAAGTTATTTAAAGTTAATTTTACTTGATTATTTTCCAGGCTTCGGTTGCTTCATGCAAGACCACATAGCTGATCCGATGTCATACGGAATATACGTCGTGGATCGCCGCTACATCTCACTAGAGGGCTCTGTACAACAATTGGCGCAGTATATGTTCGACTTTACCAAGTGAGTAGAGTTATGCTTCAAGACAGCACTTTCAATACGATAAAACAAATATTAGCGCTCCTAAATAATGACGTTGTATCATCTAGAGTCTAGAAAAGAAGAGTCCTAACTTTTCTTTTTGAGAAAATTTAAATTGCAGCAAAATTTTTACTTCATAGTTGACAAGAAATGTGAAGATTAAACCTAACTATGGATGTTTGATATGTCGTTGAGTTCCAACTAATTAAGAGTTTTTGAAAAAAAGTCTGTCAAAAAGATAATGTTGTATTGTCTTTGATTGACATAACCTTTACACATTTAAAGAAAAAAACTTTTTAACCGGATTAAAGTTATGTATTATTATAAATTTACAATTACTTAACATGATTTAAAATTTATCCGACGTTTCGCGTGTTTTACAGCGTGCGTGGTCACCGTGACCACGTGTTTTTTTCTTTAAAAGATAAAGTTGGCCAATCAAAAAGTTATTCCATCCAACTTTTTTGACAACTACTCACAGGGCAAAACCCAACAAATTCTCATTTATTAAGAAAACTTCCCATTCGGAGTGGCAAAAAGAAAAATATGTAGTATATTTTCTTGTGTTGTGTTTATTCAATTTGAGTGCCATATTGCCAATAGATATTAAATAAAATAGTTTCATTCTTCCGTTAGAGGCGCTAGTGTAGCTCGTTTTGACGAATAAAAAAGCGAAACAAGACACTAGAAATAATTAATGATGGTTATTTTATTTGTTCATTAACAAAACCTTGCCAACATTTGGCACATAAAAAAAATACTAGTATGTAGCAGGTATCACAGGAAAACATAATATTAATTATTATTATTAACACATAGTTAACACACTAGCACCTTAATAAGCTGATAGGTGCTTGTCTTCGGATTTGGAGAAATTATCCAGTCTGTTTAAATGAATAGAGGGACAAATGGAACTTTCTGGAAGCCTATTCTAGGCAGCTACCACTTGGTTTGAGAGAACATATAATGAAAGAAAAAAATAAATCAAAAAATGTTTCTTAATTTATTTCATGACCATTTCAAGAAATAATAATTTACTGTAGGTAAAAAAGTTGTATATATTCTTAGTAGGCGAAATAATTTATCACGTGAATTGTAACCATAGATTGAAGGTGTGTGTGTGCAACACAAACCCTTATGTCAAGTAGGATGACTTAAAAACTTCTATAAAAATACATTTATTAAAATCTAAATTTATTCACAGGTTAACAAGACGTCAACGTATAATACAAAGAAACAGAACGGAAAGACTGAGCGATCTTCTCGATTGGAGGAATTTGGGAATTGTAAGTAGCATTTTTTAATAAAAAAATTTGCGTGCTTCTCAAAAAATATTCATTAGAAAAATTTATAAAAGGTATCTTTTTCTATTAACGAATTAGAAATTCCTTATAAATTGAAAACTAAACTACTAACCCTTCAACGTTCTTTTGTTATTTCAAGCCACTTAGCAATAGTTGTCAATCCTACTACCGTAGATTGAGGGTGAGATCTATACAGCGCACTTGGACTTTGCTCAGACTTTACTTACTGTATTTTCTGCATGGAAAATATCATGCTGATCATTAATATATATTAAAAATAATGTTGGACATAATTTGCTTCCTGGCGGAACTCCACAGATAATTTTTTTTAATTGAAGTCATTTTAACCATGAGTCCAATGTAGAAATGTCCATTAAAATATAACCATGACTCAAAAGGAGAATCGATGCATGGTATCTTTTTAAATAGGTACCTGAGTATATTTTAGTGATAAGTCATTAAAATGAAAAAAAAAGCCGTTATGTCTGTTATGTCTAACGTTTTTGTTATTCCAGTACTATCGTCAGGCGCGAGCTGAAGCACTGAAAATCGTATATCCTGATTATGTTGACCACATGCATATGGAACTCGGGAAACGATTTAACTACCCACGCCCAATATCCGAGCCACCTAGCCCCACACATTCCAGTGAGTTTCATGATACTTGGTTCAGCCGCTTTGTTTACTTTCTAAAACTTTTGTTTAAGGCTTTAGTGCTGAAAATTATTGGTGTTTTATAATATTTATGTTGTGTGTATGTTGTATGTATATGTAATGTATATGTATTTATCGTAATATACCATTTCTATTCACGTATTTTATTTATATATTTATCTTCATATACTTAATACTTATAACTAAATGTTAATTTGCTTTTTAAATTTTACGGCAAACCAATTTAAGGTTATTTAAACTTTCATATTTGGATATTTTTAACTAATTCCTTCTTTCATTTTATTGATGTATTATTGATGTCGCGTGAAATAATAATCTACGTACATATAGTATTAATATTATATATATATATAATATTTTGAATTACGAACATATTTCTTTCCACAACCAGTGATTAAAAGCCGCCAAGAAAGCTCATGGCTGACCGCATCCTACCACAAGGAAATAGAACAACACAAAGATACAAAAGACGAAGAAATACAGACCAGTCTAGATCTGGAGGATAAAGTTAGACTTCAAAAGTCTCTAGAAATCCTAGAAGTGACAGACGTAGAAATATCGAAAGATATTGAAGTGAGATTCGAAAAGGCGATTGAGCTGGAAGTCAGCGAAAGTTTTGACGCTAAAGATCTGTTCGAACCGTTGAACGCAGCTGTTGCTGAACAAATCGAGCAACTGATCGCCAAACTCAGCGATTGTGTTGAGAAAAATTAGTACGTAATTGGCACGTGTGTGTTTTAGCACTGTTTGGCGAAGGAAAGGCACACGATTTAGTGTTTGTTAAGCTACTTTTGGATATTAGAAGCTATTTAAATTGGGAAATATAGTTCTCTCTTCTCCTAGTTTTATAGGAGATAAGGATAGCATTAGATAGAAATTGTTTAGGTGGTACTAGAAAGGTTGGTTTTTGTATGAGCAAAATGTTTTATCACACAGTATGAAGTTTTTGGCACATGGTGAACAAAATGTAGTAGAGAATATTTTAGAAATACCGAGTCAAGCACTCGCGTGAGAGGTTCTTCGACATTGGTGAGGTCATTTGGTAGAAGAAAGTCTTATGCACACATTTATTGAAGTTGTAATTTTTATCTGAGTTTGAAAGTGTTTTTGTACAAGATTCTAGGTAATGATTGCTGCCAAAAACAAGGAATTTGCTTTATTAATTTCTACACGTAATATCAGTGTTACATTAACCATATTTAAGAGATCTGACGATTAACAGGTGAGATTTTGATGAAAAGCATCTCTCGTTTTAAACTCCCTGATTATTGCGTATTAAGTGCCCACATTGCATATCAGTTAAGTTACCCATTACACATTCCAGGAGCCACGACACCAGCCGCTTCGGTCCACGGTTCTGATGATGAGGATGAAGTGGATGAGGAGAAGGAGTTAGCCGAACTGAGGATTACCGATAACTAGACCTACACAGTGTATAAATCTTAATTGGTAATTCATCGGGAAAGCGGGATAGTGCAACAAATGTGTTGGATCTTGATAAAACACGCCATCTTATATTGAAATTTTTATTCCTGGCTCCAACATGTTTGTGGCACTATTTGGAGAATAATCTAGAAATATAATTTCCTTTAGTGTCATGAAAAAAAATATCATAATATTTTTTTGAATTCGTACTTGCCTGTTTTTTTATATTTTTTTATATCATGATTAAAATATATTTCTTATATATATCTGACAAGTGTACAAAAAATAGTTCCTATATCCCCTGCCAAACTATTACCTCTTATGAATACTCATATTTATCTAAATTAAAAAAAAATACTATATTTTTGAAAGCTGAGTTTTGTATACTACTTATATTGCAATTTTTTCCCCTTTGAAGAAATAATGTTAGTAGCGTAATTTCAAGTGTTACAAGTACAAAAAATAATCTTTACTCTATTAGAAATGTCTATTTTTGTATGAAGTGCAATAATTATTATGAATGTGTGCGCATTTAAAATCAATATAAAAATAGCACAAAGACTAGAAAAAATAAAAAAATTCTTTTAGTGTTCTTTAATAAATATTATTCTTATAATAAAATATCTTAAGCTTAGCTTAGCTTTAGACTATAGATTATTATGGTAAACATAATATGTTAAATGGTGTCACTGCTAAAGAGGAATTAACTGCAAATTTCTATATACACATTCTAAAAAGATGGATTTTATATCATGAAGTTTCTTTATATAAGATAAAAAGTCATGTTTTTAAAATATACAATGAAAATCACTAAAACTATGGACTCATCTCAACGCAGTCTAAGATAAGCTTGTCGAAGAAAGGGCTAATCTTAAAAATTGTAGCTTGTGGCCACACCATAGACAAGAAAGGCTACTACGGTGAGCTGCTTGTAAACTGCTATCATAAAATGTATGTAACTAATTTTGAATACGAATTTAATTTATAATCTATCGTGTTTCTTTGTCTGAAATAATATAAGATGGAATAATTATTTATTGTGGTGTACTAACGGGCAACTGGCAACTGTTGCTACTGAAATAATTCCCCTATTCAATTTTTTTTAATTTAGTCAGATTCTTCCTCTTTAACATTTTTTTCGTTCTGATTTAGTTTAAACGAATTATTATATATAAGTAAACTAATAGATTATTTACAATAGTTATATTAAATATATAATTTATTAATTGATACTGCCATATATTATGCATGTTTTTAAAATTATTTATAAAATGTATGCACAAATTGTTAAAATGAATTTGGTTAGTGCCATTTGTTATTAAGAAATAAATGTGTTCAATTTAATATATCTTTTATTTATACTTTACTATCAATTATGTTATGCAAAAAAGTTATTTTCTAGTAAAATGTAAAATATGCCTATAAAATAAAAATAAATCAATCAGTGGCGCTACAACCTCTAGGTTGCTCGCCTCAGATTTCTGAATCTGTTTCTTGATCATTTTTTAAATCTAATGGGCCGTTAGTGCCTAACACACGTCGTCGACTTTTTGGGTCTAAGATATGTCGGTTTCCTCACGATGTTTTCCTTCACCGAGCAAATGTTAAATGAAAGAAAGAAAGTCCATTGGTCCATTGGGATCGAACCTACGATCTATCTTTTCTTTCTAATAGCACGCTGAAGCCACTACTGCCAAAATATGCCTATACCATACCATATAGTATGTTTTTGTCTTTGGTCATATACATAATTTATTTTTGCGGAAAAATTTAATTTTGTAATTTCATCAATCATTAAAATTATCAACCGTTTGATGGTGAACATCTTAAAATAAGTTATTTATTAAAACTATGTATTGCTTAGCTTATATTTAATATATTTTAAATTATATCATCTCTTATTTGTGTCTTGTGGTGTTTTGACTTTTATTTGCTTTATCTAGTACTGTGGTGCTTATTGTAGTAGATTCGGTAGCCTTCTCTGTTGTCGTCTTAGTATCTTGAGTGTTCTTACTATCTTCTGTACTGTTTGAGTTTTCAACTGTCGAAGATTCTGTAAAATTCATTGTAGAGTTAGGCATAGCAGTAGTTACATTTGGTAGAGAATCTTTAATAGCAGAGTTGTTTGCCAAAGTCCCTTCAGTGGTTGAATGCTGTTCAGAATTTGTTGTTTGCGTTTCGGTATTGTTTGTATATTCTTTTATCATAGTCGCTTCTGTGATCAAATTTATATATTTACCACTGACAGTTGTAGTACTGTTTGAGTTTTCAACTGTCGAAGATTCTGTAATATTCATTGAAGAGTTAAGCATAGCAGTAGTTATATTTGGTAGAGAATCTTTAATAGCAGAGTTGTTTGCCGGAGTCCCTTCAGTGGTTGAATGCTGTTCAGAATTTGTTGTTTGCGTTTCGGTATTGTTTGTAGATTCTTTTATCGTAGTAGCTTCTGTGATCAAATTTATATCTTTATCACTGACAGTTGTAGTACTGCTATCGTTGTTTATCTCTTTAATGGTAGAATTCATTAAGGTTGCGTTAGCGATAGAGACCTCTGTAGTGACATTTACTCCAATTTTGGTATCTGACGAGGTTGTTGTAGTAGCTTCTGTGCTCGAATTATTTTCTGTATTATAGCTAGACGTACTGGTTGTGTTATTTAATGTCGTAGAATTTTGCTCATAACTGTTATTCTGTAGTGCGGGAGTTGTTGTTTGATTTGCATTTGCTTTTTTATTCAGGGGCGTAGTACTGCTGTCAGTAGTTGCAGCAGTTATGGTAGAATCATCTTTTAGTGCTTCCGTAGCTGAAGTAGGAGTGTTAGAACTCACCGTTTGAGTTGTTATTTTTGTTGTATTTAAATTACCAATACCACTTTCTGTGGTAATCGGCGATATTTTAGTAGTCGTCATGGTATTTTCCAGAGGAGTAGTTAAAGTAGTCACTTCCGTAGAAATATTAGCAGATTTTGTTGTTATTAAAGGTTCAGTTACACTTTTAATTGAATTAATTGTACTTGTTTTGTCAATCGTAGATAAAGTTGTTGAATTCGTTTCTGTAGCTAGGTTGTTAGAAATAGTAGTTGCATTAATATTTTCTGATGTAACAAAATCTGCCGTAGCTGAAGTAGGAGTGCTAGAACTAACCGTTTGAGTTGTTATTTTTGTTGTATTTAAATTACCAATACCACTTTCTGTGGTAATCGGCGATATTTTAGTAGTCGTCGTGGTATTTTCCAGAGGAGTAGTTAAAGTAGTCACTTCCGTAGAAATATTAGCAGATTTTGTTGTTATTAAAGGTTCAGGTACACTATTAATTGAATTAATTGTACTTGTTTTGTCAATCGTAGTTAAAGTTGTTGAAATCTTTTCTATATCTTGGTTGTTAGAAATGGTAGTTGCATTAATATTTTCTGATGTAACAAAATCTGCTGTTTTCTCTGAGGAAGATTTTTGCGTCGAAGGGCTAGTAACAACTAAGTTGGGTTGATGTATTGTTGTTAATATCTTTTCCGTGGTACTGGCACTGTTCGTAGAATTTTTAGCCGCTGGGATTTCATTTGTTGTAAATTCAGAAGCGGCAGAGGTGGTCGTTGTGGAAATTTTTAAATTTGTTTCTGTATTATTTTTTATTGTATAACTATTATTAGTTATGCTAGAAGTGTCATTTGATTTAGACATAGTTTTTTCTTTGTCATTTTCTGATAGAACTGTTCTGGACGTAGTTGTTACAATAATGGCTACGTTATCTGTAGATTCAGTAATCCTCTTATTTGTGTGGTTTGCATATTTTAAAGATTTATTTACAATTGGTTTTAATGTATTGTTCGGGTTGTCATTCATAAATATAAATATGTTTGTAACCTTAATAGTTTTGCCATTTATAGTATCTCCAGCTATATTAACGCCGGTAAAATTTTTAGTGTTTATGCTTTCGTCTGATTCAATATCGCTTATGTTAGCAGAGGGTTTTGATATTGTTAAATGGTCGTGTGTGTCGTCTTGACTTTTTCTTGTTTCATTAGAATTAATTTCCGGTATTGATGTTGTTGGTGATACATCTGTTTCGTTATATTTATTTTTGACTAATTCGGTTATATTTTTTAGTTCCAAAGCCACTTCTTCTCTCACTAGCTCCTTGATGCTCTATAAAAGGATAACAGTTCTAAGATTAATTTAAATAAATTGTCTGACGTCTGTCTATTAATAATCGTGAAACGTTATACGCATGAAGGGAATTCTGTCAATTTTCTCATAAACTTTTGATGATCTTCGTTTAAAAAAAGTAATAAAAATCAATTTAAAAAATTGGCAGAATTCCCTTCACGCGTATTAATTTACACTATTATAATCATACAGACCACGTCGCGTCGGACAATAAAAAAAATAAATGTATTAAACTGAAATCGACCTTAAAAAGTAAATTTCCTTAGGTGCCCGTTTTCTTTAAATAGTTTACATACTGATAGTAATTTTTTTAAGATAATATGTTTACGGTACATTTTAAAGTATACTTAGGCTTGTTTGCAACTTACTATTACAACGTTGCAAATTATTGATTTTTAAAGGTACATACCTCATCTAAAACGTTGAAATAGGCTGATGTCCATCCGGTGAGCCAGTCCCAAAACACTTTCTATAAAAAAACATGTGTAGAATATTAGACTTTTGAGCGACTAACTAGTACATCTAAAATACGTAATTTTATGTTAATTAGTTACCTTTTCCAATAATTTATTTAAGTCTGATTTTATGGACTCTCCTTTTGAATGACTCTTCGTGTCGTTTTTCTGAAAAGGAAAAAGTATTTGTTTTAATTGATTAATTTAATGTTTTAATATTTTTTAGTCTAATCAGCGACAAGTACCTGTGGTATATTATCAAAATGTTTTGATTGTTGTTGAGCTTCTGTTGTGCTATTATTAATTTCTAGAATTTCCGACGTAGTCACATTACTTTTTGAAGTTCCTGTGAAATTTTTAGCATTCGGTTCTGATATTTTATCGGTAGTTTTATTTAAACTTGTAGCCGTAGTACTTTCGATATCATTATTTTTTGACACCTCCGGTCCAATAGTGGTTATACCTGTACTTAAAGATTGAGTTGTAATATCTTGGTTTGAATTTTCAATATTCGTATCAGCTTCTTTAGTAGCGATAGTAGTTATATTTGTTACGGTATCTCCGTGTTCGGTTGTAGTGATTTCATTATTATCCTTGGTAATTTCGGTTTTATTAAAAGTTGATTGTTTGGCCGTAGTTTTTATGACTTCTGTAGTTGTTAAAACAGCATCAGTCGTCGATGAAATGTCTGAAACTTGAGTCTGGTTTTTGATATCAACTGTAGTAGTTAGATTTGTTAAGGTATCTACATATTCAGTTGTAGTGATTTCGTTATTATCTGTTGTAATTTCGGTCTTATTAAACGTAGATTGTTTGGTCGTAGTTTTTATTACTTCTGTAGTTGTTAAAACAGCATCAGTCGTCTTTAAAATCTCTGGAACGAGAGTCTGGTTTTTGGTATCCGTATTTGTTAATTCGGGTGTTTTTATATCACTTGAAGTAGTGGAATCGGTTTCAATAATTTTATGACTGTTACCTATTGTAGCTTCGATCTCTATTTTGGTGGTTGTTTGTACGTTCTTTGTCGTGAACGTATTTTCTGTGTTGGTAGGAATTTGAGAACTTGTTTCAATTGAATCAGTCTGTTTGTTTGTATGTATATTAGTTGTGGCAGTTGAAGTTGTTGTCTTTACAATATTATCGTTAAAATGTGATAAACCGACTGTTGACTCTGCATTTGGTTCTGCAGGTATATGATCCTGAAAAAAATTATCAATCTTTATTATTTCACTAATACATAAGATTTATAGACCCCTACTTTTGTCAAACCCTTTAATAAACTCGACAGTCTGCATCATACGTACCAAAATTTCTAAGAAATCCGATCTATTGTTTACAAATTGGGATTGCTTGCACGTGCACTTTATTACGTACGTTTATTATTATCACGAAGATGCCTCAGTATCGCAAAATGAATAAAATAAGTAAATACATTCAACATTACTGGTGCAGTAAAAGACGTCCGAGGAAAATAACAGACTGTATGCAATACTTTCAAATAAGAATTTTTTTTTATGTAATCACTAACACTAGTCCGAAATAAACTTTTTCTACTACAGATTTTTCTTCTTGCCATCTTTGTAACGTCTAAATAAGCACACTCCCTTAAGTGTCGTTATACAGAGTTTACTCTGTATTTATAAGGTTAAATAAGATGTTTATAGACTTACTTTTTTGTCAACCAAAGGTGTTTCACCTACATTAATGAATGTGGAATGTTTGGAGTCTAAATCCTAAAAAAACAATACTTATTACTTAGGAACCAATAGAAGAATGTTTCATATACATATATTTTTCTATTATCGACAAATAAAGAGTTACGAAATGGATTGCTGGAAATATAAAGCTAGTTGTGCCAAGCTTTTCACCCGTGTTAATTTGAGGAAAAACCTACTGGCCGTACAGTTATGGCTTCCTTTCTTCCAACACAAAAATAATGTTTCATTTCGATGTTAGGATTTCTCATTTAAAAATTTTTAGTTCTATATCATTAGACGAGATAATTAAACTACTGCAATAATTTGATTGATTTATACAAATTAAAAGACAAAAACAGTAATGTAAATTAAGTGTACTTACATTCCAAACAAATCCTCCGTTATTTTTTAAACTCATACCGTATGTACCTGGAGTAATTTCGTTCAATGTTGTTGGAATTTTTTTTGGTCCTATACTTTCCTTAACTATATTTTCCCCTAACGGCTTTCGTTTGAATGGTAGCCTATTTAAAAGATTTTTAAATGACTTTTTCAGTTTATCATAAAACGAACTGTGTTTATTACTGGCAATATCTTCATTATTTTCTTTTGTGTTATCATTAATTGTTGGACTTGTCTTTATTGGAACTGGATTGATCTCTGTTTCTTCCACATCTGACTGCAAGTTGCCTGCAAGAGCTTCATCAATTTTATTTTCATTTCTTAAATTTATATTATTTTGATTGACAAAAGCCTCTTTTGTATCGTCAGTTAAGTCATTGCTTTCTGGAAGCTCATTAATATCATCATTTGATGTCTTTTGGTTTTCATTTACGTAAATCTTTCCTGGATTTATTTCATTTTTTTCTGACGTAAACCCTCCAGGCACTGAACTTGTATCTTTAAAAGAATCTTGCGATTTGTTTTTTCTTAAAGCATTGCTTGAATAGAATTGCTCTTCCATAGATGTATTCGGTCTACTGGTTGTAACTGGTTTTATATATGTTGGTTCCAAAATCTTTGGAGCTGGCGGTATTTCCTGTAAATCGTATGGCAACGATGTTTTAAAACCAATAATGAAATATTGTTGTTTTTTTAAATAAAGATTTAATTATTTAATTGTAACGTCATATTCGTTTGTACTAGATACTTTACATTTATGAAATGAGAAATACGCATATTTGCTAAACGCAAACATTAAAGTTTTTTCCATGTTTTTAAGGCATTGCCCAATAAGGCTGTACATATTAGCGGAGATAATAAGAGTAGTGAAATTGGTACATGGTGCTCTTGCTTTGTCTCGCCCTCAAGGCTCTTGCGCATGTGTCTCATTTCAAGATCTCAAGATCAGGGGTCTTGCTGTTGCAACGATTACAATGCGTATCATATACTATGTTAAGCTACTTATTACGCATTATTATGGTTAATCCAAACTTATTTGATCCAAACTCCACTTACCAGATTTGTGATATATGTTGGTAAGGGATTTTCTTTTACCACCGGCTCCATATCTTTTTTATTATTAATTGGTATTTCTATTCCATTTTTAAGCGGAGTGAACAGCGATCCAATTTTATTTATAAATGGCAGAGATTGTATATTCTGAAAATTTAAATGTCCAAAATTTAGGCTTTCGTAAACAAATCCTTTGTCCTTTGATCGCTCCCTTATCACTCAAGTATAAATTTAAAATCTTTCTTAAATTATTTCTACAATTACATTTATTACAACTATAATAGTATTCCATAAGAACTTACATTCCATATATTACCAAATCCGCTATGCAGACTCATACCATACGTATGCCTTTGTTTAGCACTTGGTAAATGATTGAACATATTTCTCACTCTATTTTTAAATGGTTCATTTTTAGCATACATGTTTCTAGGTGAATTTGTATAGATAACATTTCGGTGATTGTCCATTACTGGTTGATACTGAAATAAGTTGTCTGGGTTAGAAATGGAATATTTGCAGGTACCTAAATCATGAAATAACTCGAAAAAAATTACCCTAATGTCTCGTTTTCGTCTGTTATTGCCGGATTGTTCCTGAAACATGGCAAATATGTATATACACTATTAATATTATGTACAATTGTTTAAATTATAAGCTACAACTTCAACCTAACTTTTAGATTTTCTATTGTTTTGGTTGATTCATCTTCAGTCTTTTTATTCTTAAACAAAAATTTTATAATAAATTTATAACTTTTTTTAATTTTTTTATTACATTTGTATTTTTATATTTGTGTTTAGACGCACGATTATTAACCCTTAGATTTTGAATCTGAATCTCTGCATGTATGGATTTTTCTATCTATGTTGAAAAGTACTTGCTTATATGGCGAAGGAAAAGGAAGGAAAACGTCTAACAACCAAAAACCGACGACGTATGTACTAAAGGCTTAGTCTTGCTTCTAAGAATATGATTAAGAAAACATATAGGAATATGGATCTAACACAATTTATTTAATTCGATTGATTACATACCTTGTCTAACCTCCGTTCGACATTCTTATTAGTGTTACCAACATGTATAGGAATTGTTGTGTCGTTGGTATCTATGGAAAAATCCCTCTTTATCTTAACATGTTTGTCATCAGCATCTTTCTCCGTTGGCTCCTAAGCAAATTGATTGTGTTAAGCATACCTGACATAATTATGTATAGTATAATGAACAACTTATACAAGTAATGTTCTGATAATATTAAGTAATTCTTTAAAGGTGTAATCATTTCTCCTTAGATTAGAACTTAGAATGATATAGAGTAATATACATATAGGGCTGCACCCTATATGTATATACGTTGGCCAAGTGTCTTCAGCGCACGACTCTCATCTCTGAGGTCGTAGTTTCGATCCGCGGCTATGCACCAATGGACTTTCTCTCTATGTGCGCATTTAACGTTCGCTCGAACGGTGAAGGAATACATCGTGAGGAAACCCGCTTGCCTTAGACTCAAAAAGTCGACGGCGTCTTTCAGACACAGAAGGCTGTTCATCTACTTGCCTATTAGATTGACAAATGATCATGAAACAGATACAGGAATCTGAGGCCCAGGCCTAAAAAGGTTGTAGCGCCACTGATTTATTTTAATTTTATTATATAAGTACTGTATATAGAATTAAGATCATATATTAAGGATGAATAATAAAGACTAATAATAATAGCTCTAAATACTATTTAAAATTTGGCATTCTTGTATATGCAACTATAAATATTTACCCCATGCACCAATGGAACACGACTACAACTTACCTTTGACTGCGAGTCGAAGTATTGGTAGCCTTGACCATTGGTGAAGGGTCTGATGGACTCATCGAAGTCAGGCTCTTGATCATCAGGCGACTGAAAAAAAAATAAACCAATTACACTGTGGATTTCAGTATGTACCTACGCAATGGTTTTGCAGTTTCTTTTAAAGTTGGAAAATGCAAAACGCAACAGCGAGCCTGGTCTGCGCCCCGTCTACCACCGTGAATCGTTAGTTTTCCGAACGACCCTTGCTGCAGCAAGGGTCATTTTCGCTGCGCCTTCGTATTTTCGGATGGGGGAGGCCGGCTCCAGCACTTGCAGGGATACATCAGCAGCTCTTCTTTTAGACGCATGGATCACTGATTCCCCCGCTTTGGTGTCCTTGAGCCTAGAAATTACAAGGCGTGTCGTGCACACGCGTGGTGCCGTTGTGGTATTTGGCGGTGGTTCCCATCCATGGCCCATCCAAAGATGGGCAGCGGGATGGGCTTTCCTGGCCCTTTCCGCTTCCTCTTTGCTATTTCTGACTGCGCAAGTTTTCAAAGGTCTTTTACCAAGGATGACTTCCTCGCCCTGTAGCATATACAGCAGAGGCCTTCTTTCCGCACCCCATGCTGGGCAATCCCGTTAGGTGTGTACCGCGTCGTCATCCACGCTTCCGTCGCAGTGGTGGCAAGTAAGTACCTCCTCACGCCCGACTACTGTGCAAATATCTACCGAAAACATCCGTGACCGGACAGTATCTGCACAAGTCAGCTTTGGTGGCCTCACCAGATGGTGATGAGATCAACTTCTTCCGGCGTGGGGTTGCTTCCTCTCTCCCTCTGACTTGGCTCTACCTTATTACACGTCGCTCAGAGTGGCAGCGTCGAGGTGCCAGAGTGCAGTGCCGGTTATAACGCACACGGCGTCGAAAACTCGTTTGAAAAATCTCAATCTCACTGTGTAAATGCTTCTATGATGGGTTGTAAATGAAGATACAGAGGTCACCGTTATTGATTATAATTGTACTTACCGTCTTGGGATCCTTCTTCAAATATGGTTTTTCAATAATATGATAAAAGAAGATCTCTCTTATGACTGGTTCGTCTGGTTTTGTATTGATGAACTGAACCACTTCTTCAGGTAATTGCTTTATTTCGAATGTTTCAGTGTTGTTTGTCTGGAAATTGAAAATGTTATACGTCCCGTACTTTAAAGGAAATTACTATATATAATGGTCTAAAACATTTTATTTATAAGTAATCTTACAGCTACACATATATATTATAAAAGAAAACACTAAGACAATATACATAGCCAAAACAGATTACATTGATAACCAAAATATACGAAACAATGTATATTTTGTTTAAGTGCGGTTCGAGAATTGTTTTTCGGTGAGTGATCTAAATTTTTGTTTTAGAGTGAGTAAAAAAAGTTTTTTGTATTTTGGAGTCGTATTAAAAACTGTATAAATTTCTATGGTACATTACGTAAAAATTTATCACAATCTTATTAGGTTATATCAGAATTAAACTTACCTCTGGCTTAGGATGGCAGTCTAAAGCAATAAAATGCAGCTCGAATAAGAGAAGTGTTAAATGAACCTGAAATGGGAAATCGTACGAAAGTGACAAAATATTCTGCTTATACGTGAGTTACGTAACCTAACATTAGTTTAGTTACATATACATATATTTGTTAAAAATAATTAGAAGCGTAAACAAAATCTAAGCAATCATCGCACACTTGAAGCCAAAATGAGTCCTTTAGTTTTTACCACACTCATAAATTGTACTTTAACATTCTCGTTTCCGATAACGTCCAGTAAGATAAGTTTCACTTAGATAAGTTAGTTTTTGTTAGCGACGCAATCCCACTACGGACTACCCCTAATTTTATGTTAGTTATAAGCTCATATGTTAAACGATTAGATTAGTCAGTTGTTACCCAGCTTCAAACAAAGCGTTTCATTTAACATATCTACAACACCCGCCACCGAACTTAATTCGTGTAAGAGATTTTTATTGAGTTAAAAAAAACAAGATTAACTAAGTACCATATCTATGTTGAAGGTTTTATGCAAGGCTTCATACTAATTATAGTAGTTTAAGCATTTATATTACTTTTATTATCGATTCATAATTTTAGTTAGTGACGTGGGCTCGTTTAGAAAATACCTTCGCTGTCAAATGCCGCCAAAACGATTCATAACAATTGCAAGGGTTTTGTACTTTTAATTTTTAGCATTCGTCATTAGGAACTAATAGTGTAGATTTATAGTATAATAAAATAGGTTATTATTTGTTTTATATAGACCTAGCAGACCGGCCAAGCGTTGCTGTGGCTAAGGTTTTTGTTATATTACATAGTCGTAAACTATTCATGGAAAACGGTAGGAGAACACCGGTCATGGGGACCACCATGCTTTATTGGTGGTTATGCCATTAAATTGTCGCTTATGTGAAACATTAGTACTTTCAACACAGCGCCATCTGTTAGAATTGTGACTATTAAATAATAAACAAATATTCTGCAATAAAATAATATTGCGGGTATAAATTGAGATGTTAGCTATCCTATCTTTTAAGTTAGATCAAACTGCACACGGTGTGCAAATTTGATTGATATCGGTTCGGTAGTTTAGGAGTCCATATTCCATAGAGCGGACAAACAACGTGACACGTAATTTATATATATACATATATATATTAAGATATTGAAATTACTGTATGGTTGACGTCCGATCTAGATCTTACTAGGTACGGAGACCAGAATCTTTAAAGATAGGAAAGTTTTACCTTAACTTATAAGCTAAAACAAACAGTCTAGTTATTAAAAACTTACTTTTGAACACCACATTTTTACAACTTCACTACGAAACAGAAACCTAGCAACTAAAGAAACCCAGTTATTTATAAATTATTACACTTTAATTGTATTTTAATTATTGAAATTTTATCTTAAATGATCGCTTATCTTTTACTGTTATAGTTTTATCTATAGAAGTCTTAATTCAATGTTGGTTATGTATATAAGAAATGCATAATCAATAAAAAGTAATTAAACTTATATGGGAAGGTAATTAAATAATATCGGTAAAAGTTTGCGTTTATTGAAATGTTTTAAGAAAGAAAAAAACAAAAAAGCAACAACTGCCGATAGTCAATTTTGTTAATAAGTTGGATATCTTTCTAAATAAAGTAATAGTTGTCGCATATTTAAATCATATTAAATAAAAGGCAATAGGGGAACAAAATAACTTAGACACTTGAAATTTTCTGTTGTATTGTAATACAAGTTACATATTTATTACATAATATGTAATTTTTACAAGTGAGTAGTATTTATTTTAATAGTAGCGGAAACCGAGTTGTAATCTTCTAGATCGTCTATGAAGAATCTTGACTGGTTTTTTCTTATCTGAAAATCCGGTTTTTGAGTCGATAATTTATGCTTAAACATTGCCTCCGCGTAAGGAATCTGTGGTAATGAAATTGGTTTATTTTCGGAACTATTCCGTAAGTCTGTTTGATGGTAATAATTATTATTTTCATATATTCTTTCATAATGTTCTGTCGTCGGTGACATTGTCTGTGAAGTTAATTTGTGAAGGAACTGTCGCAGTAAGTCTGTATTAACATCGATTTTCTTTAAAATCTCCTTTGTAATTTGCTCATTGTTTTGTATTGTGCTTATTAAAATTTTCTTTTCTTGGTCATCGGGATGTTTTCTTTCTTTAGTTTGAAGAGGTTGTGTTACTGTGCAAAATGTTTTAGGAGTGGCAGTACGTGGTTTTTCAATTTTACTTATTACATTTATTTGGTTATTGGGATCTTTAAAATTTTCATTTGTTTCAATTTTAATTTCCTCATATATCTCCTTTTTTTGTAATACATTTTCTATAAATGATTTTTCTTTTTTCAAATTATCTAACTGCGAATCAATTCTCTTTTTATGTAATTGAAATAAAGTTTGTATTTGTTTTTCTTTTTCTCTCAATTCATTATTAACTGGTGCCAATGGTATGTTTCTTCTATTTTCAGGCACGATATTACTTTCATTTACATTTTCAACCTTGGAAAACTGTGATACATTTAATAACGAAAAATAACGGATACCGTTCCGGTCGTAACTCTTATTTACACTAGTGTGAACTTCCTTGAAGCCGGTATGAATACCAGATGTATTTTTCGGCGAAATTTTAACAGTGACCTTATAATTCGATTTGGGTGGTAAAATAGCATTGACAATTTCTTCAACTCCTGGTAGCTTTACATTGGAAAAAGCAGCTGAAGATCGTTCAGTTATAACTTCCGATGGTTGGTAGGTGAGTTGTCTAACATTTGGCTTAGCTTGAATTCTATAAGGTTTTACAGAGTTATCCTCTCTCGAATATTCTCTTGACGTCTGTTCTTCAAAAAATATATGAGGATATTGAGGCATCGACAAAGTTTGAGGTTCATAGTGATATTCATCAATTAATGGTTGATTGGGATAGTTTAAATTAAGAAATTCAGAAAATGGTACCGTGTCACTGTTTTGGGTATCACTTGCATCTGTTTCTGGTATGTTTCCTTTTTTATTCGAGTACTCATCACTTGGTGATAGTAAAATAACATTTTCTTCTTTTGATTTTTTCCCCTTAGATCGTTCTCTAGCTATTATTCTTATTTTATTCACTTGTCTTTTGTTTCTTTTATTGTTTTTGAATATTTTTTTATTAAATTTAGGATTCGTATTTATAAATCTATTTAATTTTATTTTAGAGTTAAGGTTTGATACTTTTTTCACACTTACCGATCGTTTTCGCCTTTTTAATCTACTTTCCAAAGAATCCGGACTATATTTTTTTGGTATCTCATTATAATAGTTGTTTATAAAAGCAACAGATAGATCATTTATTTTAATTGGTTTCGAGACAACATTTATAGTACCGGGCGAGCGACTAGTCTTATATTCTCTATTTGTAAATATTTTGTTTGATGATTTTCCATTCAATTTCCAGAGTTTATAGTAATTTAATGGTTTGATAAGTTTTTTAATAAATTTCTTATAAGAATAATTTAAATTTGGTTCATTGTTGACTGATCGCCGAAAAACGTGAGAATTTGATATACTTTCTTGTTCTCTTTCAATATACTTCTCCCTTTTTTCATTACTTACGTTGTCTGAGACCTTATCAATTTTATTAGAGTTGTCGTAAGTATTATGATATTCTTGAATAAGATTTTCTACTCCATTAAAAAGTTTTAAACTTTCCATATCTGGTGGTTCATCAACATATTGATTGAAACCAACTGAAAACCCAGAGCCATCAATATCTTTCAAATAAAATGTCATGTTACTTGGATCGTTAACTCGATTTTTGAATCTGTTTTTTTCAATCGTTATTGGTTTTTGGTTCCTTTTAGATATTTCGTTATTGTAGTTCGCGAGTAAGTTTCCCATTTCCTGTATTTTGTATGTATTTTTTCCTGATTGTCCTGAGTAAAATGTTTGGGATGGTACTTTTGAATTCCAAATTCTGTCACTGTTATAATTAAAATTATCATCAATAGGAGATATAATATTGCTAATAGGATCTAATTGTCTATGTTCAATATTACGGATTGCTGGTACAATTTTGCTTAAGAATAAGTCATTTTTCATTTTGATTGGATCTTGGTTCCGCTTCATGATTTTAATGTGATTTGACATACTTTTCTTATGAGTTGCAGTGTGCCCATCATCGTGAATTGCCTTTTGAATTTTATCGATAAGACTTCGAACTAACTTCTTTTTCTTTTCCCCTTTAATCCCTTTACCATCAAAATGTGTTTCAATTTCAATATATAATTCTTCATCATCTTTTTTAATTTTTTCAGCAGTTTTAGGTTTATCAGTTGCGTGTTTGCTATCGAGGTAGTGAATTTTAATTTGTCGTTTTTTCCGGTTTATTTTATTTTCTATATTTTTTACAAAATCTTTACCGACTGGGTATTGTTTTAAATAATTCTCGATTATTTTATTCCAATTTGGATCAGAAAGTTGCTTCTCTTGAATAAGAGGAAGGCCAGTAAAATATGACGACTTTTTGTCTGATTTTTGCGCATTTGTAGTCATTTGTCCACCATCTTTGTCCGATTTTACGAATGTATCTTCAAGTTTTTCAATTTTTATTGACTTTCCGTTATATATAAGTTTAATTAAGCCTATGATATCGTTATTGTTGCTGAAATCATGAAAACATATTATAAAGTAACATAACTAAAATTTCGCTGGTTGATACTATGTAAATTATAGTCTTACGAGCTATTGTCTCTCTGAAGCTTTCCCTTATCGTTTATTTCAATAATTGTTTTAATTACTACTTTAGGTTCTGAAAATAAAAAGAAAAATGTTTTATAAGTCAAACCGGCACCGTGGCTAAAATTCACTGCAACCCATGTCACCTTTCTGTTTATTAATTTGTTGGCTATTATTTTTTATACCATTGACTTGGTCCTTCAAAGTTTTACATTTCAAGAGCTCTTCAAAAAACTTATCTTCTTCATTCTGCTTTGTATATTCTGGTATTTCCTTTACAGTTTCTATAGCATTGTTAGGCTTTTCTAAAATAAAACCATTGATAGAGACGGTACTAATATAGGTACATTTAATAGTCTAAAAAAATTAAACTTACCGGTGTTATGTTCGTAAAAATTCTTGACAAGCAGGTGAACCTTTTTATACACATTATTTAAATCCATATGCCCAATGATACCTTGTAGAAGAATATTGTGCATTGCCAAGTGCAGCATGTTATCATTATTTTGTTCGCTATTTTTATCTCTTTGATTATTATCAATACTTTCTCTGTCCGCTTTCATCTGTTCTACATTACCGTTCGTTTTCGTAGATTCTTCTTCGTCCAATTCTTCAAGTAAATTTGCTAGTTTGTTTGTTAACATTTTCTTTATATTTGGGTTTTTAACTTGAAACAAAAAGTTATCGGGTTCTGAAATAAGTATATGTATTTAATTCCAAATACATCTTTCACTTCTACTTTTAAATGTACCTATAGTAAATGTTGCGTATAATTTTTTATCTACTTTTCGAATAGTTGCAATTTTGAAATATATAGTAGTATAGTTCGTGGACAGGACCAAAACCAGCGTTTGCTATAATAACTACAAACCTATTGATCTTTTACCCCTATACGGATCTGCGTCATCGCTCCTATCATCATATTGAACATCATTCTTAACATCTTCTGTTCTGTAACTGTCAAAGTTGGATGTGGACTCCGCGACGGTGTCTTTAAAATAAATCAAAATTATATATTTTTTGGAATTCAAAAGTAGCATCGCCAACATTTTACTTAGGACAACCTCTAGATGCAATTGGAATGGTCGTAAAGAAGAAACTAATTTAATAAAGTTAAAAAAAATTATTCGTTGTAATTAAACTAGTGTAGTAGATATCTACCGCTAATTACTCATTACTAACCTTTCTTTGATAACAACCCATCAATATCAATGAAGACATTAGTCAATATAACTGTGAATGTAAATGCTATACCTAATACCGTTGCACAGAATACTCTATAAAATATTGTATCATAATCACAATGTGACATTTGGCTGATAAAAATATTTGTCAAAACAAAATACACGTCACTGTCAAAATATTTTAATTAAATTTAGAAAATGGCGCCAAATTGCATGTCAAGATTCGAATTTTTAAAACTTGTTAATTCTTTGACTCGTAAAATTGTAGTGACTAAATGTGATGTTTAAAAACATAGATGCAAGATAACGAGAACAATGGGATTTTTTTAGAAGTTATTTTCAGTTGGCGTACAAAAATAAGTTAAATACCTTTTACGTACGTTCTATATCTTGACCAGAAACAGCGTTACATCTTCTATTTAGAAACTCATCTTGGTATCTCTCTTAACGCAAATTACTGTTCCCTAGAGAAATAATAATATATAAAAGCAAAACAAAAACGAGTAAAAAAGTCTCGCAACGCAGTTCTTCTACCGTAAAAAGTTGTGAGATCCATGTAATACCAAGTCGGTTCATTTTTTCAGTCCCTACTTAATGGACTACCTAAAAACATCTAATACTATATATCAAAATTAAGTTTATGTTTAGTTTTTCCTTTTTACACTAAATACTAATAGTATTCTAAATTTGAAGCTTCTATGTCTGCTAGCCTTAGAGTTTTGATGATCGGTCTGTCACTCTTGCGACTCTGAGTGACAAGAATTAAGATTAAGAAATTTGGAAGGAAGTTGTAATTCTTAAACTACTGGTTCTAATTGAATGTTCTAGTTTATGCAATGCCTGCTTGGTAACCGAATTCAGATAGAAGAACCTGCTGCTTCGAGAAAATGATGGTATGGCCGTGCCGCTTTATTGCTCGACTTGGCGGGTGGTGGCTGTGCCCACAGAGCGAATCTCTTAAATTGAGAGGAGTGACTTCACTTACTTTCAAAATTATAATAATAATTTATTTGCAAGAATATGGTACGAAAATGTTATGGTGGTACAATCTAAAGGTGGCATATTCTGCCACACATAATGGCGTGGAAATTTGTTTCAAAAGGAATATTACATAATTTTACATACATTATGAGTCTTATTATACATATAGTTTATTCTTATTATGGTAAATTATTGTAGTGATAAAATATCACATTTAAATATATTATTACGATTTCAAATTAATATTAATTATGTTTCACGCAAATAATCATTAATAGAATAATATTTTTTTTCCAAAAGTAGTACATCAATTTTGAAAAACTCTAAAAATTTTAATGTTTTTGGTAAATTATTATACACCTTGATTGCCATACAATAGGTGTTTTTCAGTTCAGTTTCAGTTCCAGATTCATTTTTGGCACAGCCCATTTCTCCCCACGTCTACTTCGACAGATGTCTATTCCCATTAATTTAAAAATATTCATGGTTTTGTGAACGAAAAAGGACATTTCTAAAATATACATACAGGGAAGAGGTAAAATGTTGAGTTTCTTAAACAAAGGTACGCAACTATCAAGATAGTTTGCTCTACAAATTGCTCTAATAGATTTTTTGAGCCTTATCGCCCTATTTACTTCGCCTGAATTTCCCCAAACTATAATTCCATATACAGATGAAACATATTCATAATGTAATTAGTATTATTATTATTTTCTTATGTAGCCAAGTTCACATTTCAAGGATCGTCATGCTCGCTTAAATGTCATTGCTTGTGGCAGCGTCTATGCGTCGGGTTGTCTCTCTCCTTAAAATATGGCGAGGGGCCGATGGCTGGCCATGCGTCATACTCGTGAATGTGTGCTAATTGTGGTGACTGGTCGGACTTGAATTCGTGTATGCGGTGATGTTAGTTATTTCGATTATGTATTTGCGTGTTGTTCCCACGAAAATGTAAGTGCGTGCTCCTATTTCACCATGCCTCCTGCTGATAGAGGTCAAATCTTTGATTTTAATTTATTTTATTATTATCTATTATTATGTCATGTGGAACATGGTGTAATGGTTGCAGCTCCTTACAAACGTTGTGTAAAACAAAAAACTTGGCGATTAAAAAGAGTGGCGGAGAGTTTATTGCCAGTTCCTCTCTTCCGTTCCACGCCCTCGATTTGAGGAACTGGCAGTAAATGTAAAATTAGAAGCATTAAATATATATTTCTTTTTTGAAGTTTTAAGTGTACATTGTGTTACCTATATGAATAAATGATTTTGACTTTTGACTTTTGAATATCGTATCATGGTTAAAAGTTTTCCTTAGTTGTTTTAACACATACAGTATACACGTTATTTAAAGTACACAAAAAATCTCAGTAGACTATCTCAAATAAAAATTATTTATGTTTTTTTACGATTTTTATTATTAGATAAAGTTAATATTTTCGATGAGTATTAAAAAAGATGGTTTCATTGTATGATTTTATAAGGGTAAAAAAAACTAGATATCAATTTAATTTTTTAATTACATTATAACACCGTAATTATAATAATCTAATAATAAACGATAAACAAGAGATGTGTGACATTTTCTCTTTAATTTATATAAAGCATATATGAATTAATTTACTTTTACACTACACGACTCAATTCAAGCCATAATATAAATTGTGTTAGAACAGCCCAACTCTCCGATTCAGAGTCCATTCTTAGCGTATAACTACATATGTCAAATCCAATATGCTTTTGAGAAACTGGAGCCACACTTAGCGCCAAGTCTCGACTTTGAATCTCCCTTCAAGTGATTATTAGGCATTTAAAATGTACTTTACAATTCAAATAAAATATTTCGATACAAACACATTTAACATCTCATGTGAACATTTATTACCACCACTGTCAGTGCAAAATTTCATCTCTAAATCATTATTTAAAATCTTACATCAGCTTGCTTTGTAAAGTTTACTAAAGCGTCGACAAATTGGCTTTTACCACGTAATAGATACATAATAATGATAGGGTTATATGAAACGCAAATAAAACTTCACCAAGAAATTTTCACATATTTTGAAATGAAATGATAGAATTGGACAAGATATTGTTTCTACTACAACAAGATTATCTATTCCGTCGAATATGACTGTCTATATATCTAAGGTTTCTAGAAAACCCTGTTATAGCCTCTTTTAGCATAAAGGGTGGAAATATCCACAGATAATACTAGTTGTCGATACCACTGATAATAATTAAGGGAAAAGATGATTCTTCTCCGGTAAGAAAAACAACTGTGCCTTTTTCTTACATACGATAAACGTATTATACAATTATTAGGGACCATTCTATTGTCTGTGGTACCAACTGCTGGCGAGAGGCCAACGGGATGCCAGTAACCGGAATAAGTAGTATCCACTAGCCGCTTGGCACACGCGGTGTATCCAATACAATCTGAAAAAAAATACTCAAAGTAAAAGTCTTGTAATCAATAATCCGTTCTATTAGAGATAAACTTATTATTGATAGTATATGTATCACATATAATTAAGTACGTAAAAATTCTCATAGATCATTTTACAATAAATAAATATAAAAAAATCAGTGGCGCTAAAACCTTCAGGTCTTCAGATTTCTGTATCAGTTTTATGATCATTTGTTACACAATACAATAAATTCTAATAGGCTAGTAGGTGATCATCCTCACGATGTTTTCCTTCACTGTTCGAGCGAATATTAAAATGCGCACATAGAAATGAATGTCCATTGGTGCACAGCCGGGGATCGAACCTACGACCTCAGGGATGAGAGTCGCATGCTGAAGCCACTAGGCCAACACTGCTCACACAATAACCAAAATAGAGTAGAAATTCTATTTTATTATCATATATATGTCAGGAAATGTTATGATCGTGTCAATTGACCGTTGATTTTTATTGTTGCTTTGGTCATCAATGAGATTTCTCCTATAACTTTTAAGAATCATAATTGGAATTATTTTGTTATTATTTAATTGTTTCATACTTAACGAATAAAAGTATGAAACTTTTTAAGACCAATCAGAGCAGAGCAAATGCCTCGACAGGGCTAGGCGCCATCTTGACATTTGTATAGGGAAACCGGGACAGTTCTGATAGAGTATTCAGTGGACCATTGTGGTGATGAGACGTTGGACCGAGTTGGATCTAGTAGATTGTGATTAAAAGTGAGATCGGTGCTTTGAACCCGCTGCTCGTTATAAGTTAAGCTAAAGTGGTATTTGTAGTGTTAAAATGAATTAATCAAAATTAAATGTTGTGAGATAATTATTCGTATCTTTTGTGCGCGCACTTTACCCACACGACGACGCCCACTAATCCTACGATGTTCTCCGACATATATTACTTGTAAGTCGCTAGGATGTTGCCATTAGTAATAATAATCCGTATTAATAAATGTCACTTACTTGTTGAGTTTACTACGAGCTTCGGGCAGCGATTCCAAGGTGTCCTTTAATATGAATCGTCGGATTCCAAGCATATACGCGCCAACATAAGAATCCCACGAGAATAGTTGAGGCCAAGCCGAGAAAATAGCGCCGTCTGGAGCAGAAGCGCCATCTTTGTGTAAAGCTGTAAGTTCTTCGATACCGAAATGCCATTCGTTATTGGCGAAGTATTCTCCTGTTGCAGCTGCCAGTTTAAAACGACGTGCAAGCTTCATCATGCTATAGAACAATTGATAATATATAGATACGTCTGTATAATTATGTCACCAATAATAATAACAATAGCAAAGAAGAAATATAGTAAATTTTTGAATTGCATGTTTGCTTTATAATTATTGTATTTCTTAATCTTGTTTATTTTGTAATCCTACAGCTAACATAAATTATATATAATAACAAACAGTTACACTGAAAATATAGCCAGAGATGGAATACATTTTACTACAAAAAGGTTGAAAACTTTACAAAAGGAAACAAACAAATAAAATTTATTCAATACATTCAACCAAGTAATACATAATTTGGCTGTGTTGTGTGATGGTGTAAAAGTGGGGGTAAGTACGAAGGTGTTGGAAAGAGAGTATGTGGGGTATGCTCATGATGCAGGTGATTTTGCGCAATGGATATTCTTAATACTTCTTTTAACCATATTATTTTATTTCTTTTCTCTTTTGTCATTGTTACCCTTTAAATTTTGTCCACACTTGTCATTTATGTATGTATTGTGTTTTGTGGTTTTCGTGTAATATATGTAAGTGTCTGTATGTGTTTCGTTAGTGTGGATTTTTAAAATAAACAAAGATTTTTTTCAGTGCTAAGGGAGCGTTCAAGTATTACGTAACGGAAAAAAAATTTTTTTTTTAGGAAAAATCCGATACTAAATGTTTTCATAACGAGACCGATAAAAGCACTCTTTAACGCTTATTTTTATAAGCTTTTGTTGTTATGTAAGTGTTGCGAAAAGTTGAAACAATCTACAAAATAAAAATGTTTCCTTCCATTGAAGGCGCCTTATAATTAATTCTTAGCAAAGTAATATAAAAGATACTTACATGGGTTTTCGTCCTTGCGCTCGTAACACAAGGTCGTAGATGAAAGCTGGTAAAAAGTGACAAGTCAGTTCCCAGAAAGTGTTTAGCGCTCTTGACTCCGTGAATGAGAAATTCGGGTACCACATGACGTATCTAAAACACATCAAACTATGAAGATAACTGATTTTTTAGTGATTAAATCACTTGCGCGTACACCTTTGCGCGTAAGTTGCATTGTAAGCACACACATTTAAAAAAAACCGTGTGTGTACTTATGTACACGCGTTAGAAGTTCTTTACTTCTTTGACGTAACAAGATAAAAATCTTTTCAAAAAATTTATTCTACGTTTGTAGAAAACACGACACTAACAATAGAAAAAACTAAAATGTTGACTATAGCTAACTTCAGGGTGTCGGTATTTTTGTGACGGTGTGCGCGCATCATAAAAATTTACTCTCATCATTTTTCCCTAACGCGCCAAAAGAAGTATACTTCAAAAAGCAAATACCAAAATCGAGCAGACTCATTCATCTATTACAACACTCCCTTACAATTATTTTTCCGCGTTTATTATACACAATATAGTATTTCTATAAATTAAATCGTTCATGAATTTCAACTGAGTGATAGAAACTTATTTACAAGGTTGCATATAACTTTAACTATATAAGGAGTAACTTAACCAATATATAAGCATATATAAGTCGACGCATTAATCAGAGCTTAGCGGTTGGTTTGGAATATATCCAAGTATTCGTACACAATAAAAAATTGCTTACTTGGTTGGATTCTCTCTTGCCCAGCGAACACAGAGCCTTGTAAAATTGCCCCACTGCAATGGCGCCACAGACCCTGACGTTACATTGTATACAGGACATTTGCCAGCACTAAAAAAATTAAGAAGTGTCCTTTTAGGAAACCTCGACAAGGATCTAGGTTTCATAAATTGTCTTCTATGGGTTTTCTTCAGATAATTAAAGAATTAAGAAGAAGAAATGTTTCAACTTCATAGTTTAGTTGATCACCATATTTTATTTAAACCAGTTTGTTTAACCGAATACATGGGATTCGAAACACCACAGTAAACAGCAACCTGTTTCTTGTGTACTCTGAACTTTTTATCCTATGAAGAACAAATTCAAAAGTTTGTATAGAATTAAAGGTGAATTGAAAATTTATTAGATAGGATTTCCTCTAAGCTCTGTGGTTGGAAATAGTTACCGTTTCCCAGCCTGTCTCCAAGCTGCAAGTATGCAGCAGTTCACCAGTACATCTACTGGTACCAGATCCACCACATATCTCTCACGACAAAGTCCAGATCGGTAGGTACCCCGAGAGATCTCCATTATTATACCTGGATAGAAAACATATAATGATGTCGAATTGTCATGTTAATGTCAATTGATTTGTAAAATTAATAATAATGTAGTGATAGCATTCATTTGCATTGGTATTATTAGAGGATTTAAGTCAGATTCGACGCATTCTAGTTACATTATTTTGTTTTTACCGACACTATGGTCGTACGTTTACTCGTATAAAATGTACATGTAGTTGTATATCTCGCTGTGTGAGAGCCGTTTGCGCCGTAAAAAATGTCGCAGCCAACTAGCTTAATTAGCCGTTCAATCAACAGGAGAGCCTCTTTACTTAACAGAGCCAATTACAACCACAGCACACACGCATTACACACTTAAAACGTACCTTGTTCTTTAAAAGAAAAAAAAATGTTATCTCTCATTCTTTTTTTCTTTTTTTATTATTGTTATTTAGTATGTTTCTGCGTGTGTGTTTTGTTTGTAATAAATGTTATGTCTATGTCTAATTTCTCTTCCCCATGCCGCACAACTTTCTACGAGCCGTATTTTTTTTTAAACTCACCAGTAACTCCATACACGTTGTCTATCCAGCCTGGATAAGGCTCCTGGTACGCAGCCGTCACTGAAACAATAGCACACCACGTTATATGAAAAGTAAATATGTGAACTTCTACACAGCGTGTATCATGTGATCGGCAATTGATATTGATAATCTAATGAAAATACAGATATATTATTCGGATCAATTAATGCAATTAACTAATTATTAGTTTTAGATATAATTGATTCTTAGATTTCTTCTAGAGTCGTTGTAATAATCTATATAACTGTTGAATATATAACACAATGTACTTAAAAGCATTTAAACATTCGGTAAATAACCTTTAGCATTAAAACATTACACATTTCTCAACTCTGAATAACACAAGAATGGAAATCGATAAATAATTACGAACGAACATTGAAATTTTAATGCTTCGTTCGCTAAATGAACTTGAGGGCTGTTATTAGCCTTTATGTAGGCTGTATCGATATATAACCATTGTTAAAGGTCACAAACGGAATAAGTAAGGTTATAACAAGTAAGTCTAGTTTTGAATATCGTTTTCAGGAAATTGACTTTTATTTCAATTGACTTAAGTTGTTAGTGTGAGAATATAAAATAATATAAGTAACCTATTATAATATTTTCCTGACTGTTAGAAATATTATAATCTGTTTTATTATTTAAATAATTGAAATATAAGATATTATAGGCACCTTTTTATCCCTATTCTAAATATCGAAGTATTTAAAAAAACCCGTTGAATTTGTACTGATTTGACCCAATTTCATAAAGAACGAAAGTGAATGAATATATTATGAGGGGTACTTAATGAGTTTTGATCGTGTCTTGAGAACGTGCACCTGTTACCCAGGTGTGACCATTCACAAGGGTATTGTAACTACTGTCATATGTATATTCTATATGTTTGTGAGTCTATAGATTCTGTTGCTATGTGACCTGTGCTTACCTATGGAAGGCCTAACGATGCAAACAGGCAAGTCTGTGTAGCCTTGAACGATGGTCTCCGCTACTGCTTTTGTCAGGGTGTACGGGTTCGGATGCTCCCCCTGTAAGAAATATAATGCAATCTTTGTCTACATTAAAGCTCCATTTTATTACGTGTCCTGTTGAAAAACATTTTTTAAAAAGTATTACGTCTTTAAACATTAAACCGGACCAGAAAGAGTCAGTTATTATATTTTAAGAAGACTTCACCATTTATTAACTACAAAAGTAATGAAAATTAACACAAGGCATAACTGTCAAATTCAGAACTATATTTTATTCCCATATATTTACTATAATAGGCAAAGATTATTAGTAGAATTATTCCTGTGGTTTTTCTTACGAGTAGCGACGGCGTAAGTCCTTCCAGGGTGTCTGGTGGCAAGAGGTCGGCACAGGAAAGCAAAGCCTGTGGGTCGCAAGGAGGTTCATATACTCGTTCATCGATTTCTGAGCGTGGTGCATTACTATACGCTGTTGACACATGTACCACGGCCTGAAATGGAAATATATATAAATAAAGAACTTGTAAAAGCGGTGGTGATGTCAAACTTTACTGCTGAGAGTCATGGACCTGTAAAATGCATACTATAAGTTGAATATATCCTCAACAGGAGAATTTTAACTAAATTGTTTAAAAAAAATTAGGAGAAATTGTACTTTTTTCGGATTTAACATGCGCTCATCGCAAACGTATGTCAGCACTCATATTTTCGGGACAGTATTTTAAAATTCAAATGTTACGTAAAACACGTTTCTTTTCGTTAAAACTGATCACTACACCACACGATAAAAGTGCGGAAACTGTCCACCAACCATACCACACCACACGATATTGTTACACATATTTTCTTATATTAGAGGAAATATTTGGAGGGAAACGAGGGAGGGAGAGTTAGTGTGAGATAAAAAATTCTAAATATAGCTTCATTTAGAATTTTTGGAAAAGTAGCTTAAAGATATTACTTTAATTGTTTCTTAGCGCCTGTCAGTTTATTAGAGCAATGTTCGTTAATTGTCGCGTTAATTACGTAGTTAGATAATTCACTTAATAAGTAAATTTGTTACTTTAATAAAATATGTAGATTGTACAGTTTTAAAAAGGCCATTTTGGAGTATGTATTACTTTAAAGCACATGAAAAAAATATTTGCCCAAGCAAAACAATCAAATAAGATACATAAAATGGTAAATTGTAAGGTTAGTGTTGCCCTCCTATATTTTAAAGGTACAATTTTTATAAACTTCCTCAATTCAATTATACCTATGAAACTTTAGCTTCTACTCAGACCTAAAGAACTCGCTAGTGTCTGATAACGAAATTATATCACAAAATCTAGTTCAATAAGACTGATTCAGTTACTAAAATTAAATAAAAGATAAAGGCAAAGATAAAACATAATTGTAATGAACTCCTTAAAATGAAGTTCCTGTTAGTATGTTAACTATAGCTTATGAGGTCTTAGATTAAATTTCCAGCCGGGCCGTAAAATTTATATGTTTAATCGTTCTCAGACATATTTAAATGGATTTTCAAGAATTGAAGCGTAACGATAAGCATAGCCTCTTGCGCTTACTCTGGTGATACTTTTGGATGGGACATTCGCCCGATCGTAGTGTAAAAAGTACTTCTTAACACATACTTTTGTACATGGCAAGTATAAATAAAGTTGTGGCAAAATAGGCCTGGATAACGTTAATAAGTTATTGTTTAACCCTCATGATATAAACTAAGTAACACTTACGTAAGTACAATTTGACAGATTTTTTTTTTATTTGGACCACAAAATTAGAACATACACATGATACAACAAACAAAATGGCGTAAATACAAAAATGAGCGCGAATAAAAAGCGGCTCTACCATATGTGGAAGAGATGCTAAAAGAGATGAAAGAGTAACTTAGTAAGAGTTCAATAAGATTTAGTTTTAACGAATACGAGGAATATGTTCTCAAAGTGATCTTATTTAATAATGATCGCTATTATTCACGATAATTGATCTAACCTTTATTGAGATATTAAGATTTTAGAGATCCATAATTGTCTTCATTCAATGCCAAAATTAAGACAATTACATCAAGATAATTAGAGTTTCGATGTAATTCTTGTAATTTATGTATAAAATTTATATTACAAGAATTTCCTCTTGCTTACATGTTCAGTCCTGATTTTGATTAATTAAATAATCATACTCTGTTTATTCTATGTCATATTTAACGATGATTAAATTTTATCGAATTAAATGGTACTTTTAATAATAATCACACAGGAAATTTGTTTTTCTGTTATTTTTGGTAATAGATATTTTATTCGAACTATTTCGAATTGGCTTACCACATTGTACCACAGATATTGTACAATATATAAATAATATATTGCTTAATAATCCTATAGTAAAACTGCTTTTAATATTTACAAAATCTTTAAGCTGGCTGTACAGTAAGGAATTACATGGTACTAATAATAAGCACACACGAAACAATTAGTTTTTCTGTTATTTTTGGTAATAGATGTTTGACGAAGAGATTATTAAAATCTACCTTAAGTAATGGCATATGATCTCTGGCAAGCTTCATAAGTGTGTCTGTTCCTTTAACGTTCAAGGCAGCGGCGTTCCTCAAAGGGTCCGTGAAGCGCACAGTGGCGGCTGAATGAAACACTGTGTTCACGCGCCCCATTAGCGCCACTTGCGCATCCGTGAGCCCCAAACGAGGCGCGGATACGTCCCCGGCTAGGGCATGAAGTTTTTCAAGACGTTGTGGATATCTGGCCCTAATACGGTCGAATACCTATTGGAGGATATCATTTAAAATATTATTAATATTTTAACTATTTACAGATTGGCTTACCACATTGTACCACAGATACTGCACAATAAATCAATAATATATTGCATAATAATCTTCTGTGCCGAGCTGTTTAAAAACCTTTCAGATCTGGGCCTCAGATTTCTGTATCTGTTCCGTGATCATTTCTAATAGCCAGATAAGTGGTCAACCTTCTGGGTATGACATCCACAGTCGACATTTTGGGTATAAAGCACACCGGTTTCCTCGCGATGTTTTCCTTCACCGTACGAGAGGGTGTTAAATGCGCACATGACAGAAAGCCCATTGGTAGACAGCCGAGGATCGAACCTACGACCCCAGTGATGAAAGTCGCTGCTGCTATATACCTCACACATTACGTCTTTTACTTAGTACGGCAATGGAGTTGCTTGTATCTGGTTAGTGCAGCGACCTTACCCTGTAACTTTTAATAGTGACAGAGAGACGAGGTTTTTGAATGAAATTTCGATGTAGATCTCTACGTAGTAGCGCTACTGTTGCTACCTTGGAATTGCTGTTGATATCGCTAATGGGAGTGTATCTGGGTCGTAAGTTAATATGACATTTTGATATTTATCTCTCTTGTATCTATAATTTTTCTGTCTCTTCTTTAAAAACACATGTTTGAGAGCATTATTAAATAAAAATAAAATCTATCTATCATTCTTATACATTACCTGATTCTTAATCAGTTCCTTATACCTCTGCTCAACACTCAGTCCTCGTTTGGGTCTCATCAGCACGTATACTGTGTCAATCCCAGGGCAGCTTCTTAGCAGCTTCTCCAACAACGCCTTCCCGACAAATCCCGTCCCTCCTGTGACCAGAATTACGGCGTTGGTGAAGAAGTCGGCGATTCCCTCCATGGAACCTTCGAGGACCTCCCGATTCATGTCTGGGAGGGACGGATCGTTAGCGTTTATGTACTCCTCATCTTTGCTGTAGGATTATAGAACTTATTAAAGCAAATTTATATCGTATGAATTTCATTAATATTTAAGGAAAAGACAGCGCCTTTAGTAGGCGGAGATTTCAACCTTACGCTTATGCTAGCTGTAGAAATATATGTAGTCATTTATCAGCCTAAAGCCTAAATACGAGTAGAGAGTTACCTACCGACAAAAGAAAGACATAAGAAAAATATAAAACAAAGAAGAAATACGTTTTGAAAGATAAGAGAATCTTCAGAGAATAACACAGCAGTTAGAATGTAGTTTAATACAAATAACCATTTTGAGAGTAGACTAGACACTCAGTGATCTGCGTGATCATAAAATAACACAAACTATGTATATGTGTATATGTATATATGTACTATGTGTATGTGTGTATGTATATATGCCTGTTTTGTTTGTCTCTGCATTAACTTTACAATAGTTTCATTATTCAATAAGTCCACGAATAGCATAAAATCCATACAACGTTTATCGTTAATATTTTCTATTACAATAGGTCAATTTTACGTATATGTTCGTGCAAAGGCATGCTTATTGCTTATACAACCTAATTTAAAAAAAAATTACAAACTTTTGGCCACAATCCCACCTGATGTTAAGTGCGGCCTATCGGAGGGAATGCCTGTCTAGGATATGTTACTTCTGCTGGTTTAAACAGGCAAATAGGCAGGGTCCGTAAAGAAAATAGCGTATCAATTCTTTTGTACGCACTTAACATCAGGTGAGCCTCCTGCACGTTTGCCCAATTTTCTATAAAAAAGGCAACATTTACAACCTAAACGTGTTGTTAGGATTTCGCAAACCATTTATATTTAAATTAACACTACAGAATTAATTTCAAAGTAAAACAGTGCGTATCAAGTATGCTGCTTGCGTCATGACAGCTTCGTACGGGCGCAGTAACTTCCAACTGCTACAACGATACCGAACCGACAGTTTTGTTTCGATGTAGTTCTTTCAAAATCTCGCTGATGTTGCAACCTTGGAAACAAAATCCTTCCCTCTTGGAAGTTACAGAGTCTTTAAAAAGTTGTATACAAGGTCAAAGAGTAATAAAGTCCTTATCACTTTCATAGCGTTTTGTAATTTAATAAACGTAAGTATTTGTAATAAATTCTTAAGCAATCGAGGCTTATAGAAATAAAACAGTGAGACTATTGCTTAATTAACGTAATATATCATTCAATTTGATATAAATAATTAATTAATGTAATGACGTTTATTAAAAAATAAGTTTCAATATTTTTTTTATTTATCCTATCCTATAGCCACGCACGCGATCAGGTTGATCTGTTGCCAATAAACTTAGGTCTGGTGGGCTTGGCGTCTCCTGCCGGGCTCGGGCTCACACTACTCCGGAAATATCCTCATGATATGGGCGAGTCGGAGTCCGCTACCTATTGTCCTATTTTTCTTAGTGACATATTTAAGTTTCAATATTAAAAGTAAATGTTCTCTTCGTAAACATTGCTTAACCAAATTAGCCGATTTAACTTTTGGGATAAAATCTATTGTACTATATAATTGTAAATAGTATTGATAGTAGTGTTAGACGCAAAGCGAATACTAAACTCTAAGATAGCTTGAACCAAAATGGGTCGGATTTGGATTTTTATTTCTTCGTTCTTGTGTTATTTCTATGTTATATTAACGTTACCTCTGAATTAAAACGACAACAATTAATCAACAGTTGCACTTGCAACACTTTATAAAGATTACTGCAATGAAACACCTAAAAATGAGGCCAAGATTCGAGGCTGTAGCACTGGTTTATTATTATATTAGGTCAAAGTATGTACATATGCTTAAACAAAGTGATTAGATAACTGTAATTATAAAACAATCCGTGTAATACACCGGAAATAATGATTTTTCAAGTAAAAATGTTTCATTTGAAACATGACTTAATATTATTAAATATTCAAGTGTACGGTTTCATACGCTGGTTTATTTTAATATAGAATAGGAGACAGTTTCTATTGGGCAATATAATAATTAATTTCATTAGTAAAAGCAAAGTAATTATAATAAATTTGCGCAACCTTTGCAATAACGACGATAAAAATTTATTTTGAATAGTTTGATTTAAACTATTTGTTGTAGAATATTTATAAATAAGAGTCAAGTAACTGTACCAGATTTCTTGTTTTATTTATCTTAAGATTCACGCGAAGGTTGTATGAATAATTAGAATTTCTATGTATTACCCGATGCTTCCTGAATCAAATTAATATTAATTAGTTCAACTGTATTTTCTTTTGTTTCGTTACTTTGTGTAATTTCGCAATTCATTTATTTTGTATATGTTACAATATAATTCAATTTATTTCCGACACACAAATATACAGTATTCTTAATCTACATAGTAATAACAATAATTAAATATTAAAATAAATTTAAAAGGTTTGGTCCATTAGGCAGTGTACCTTAAATACTGGCAGGATTTTTTAGTTACTCTTTGGGAATTCAATTAAATAAAAAAATAAAAAAAAAACAACTTCTTAATATAAACTCACATTAACATATCCATCTTGATGTTCTTTACCGCTGTGCGTGATGCTTCCACAATATTAATATCTATAATATTTTTCAATATTGAAATTAAATATCACAAAATATTTTAATTAATATCAAAAAATCACGTAATTTGACAGTAATTCACACAACTTACAGAAAATAGAGGGAAACGTTCTAATCGCACTCGCGTCGTTTTAATGATATAATTAGTTGGGAGTCATGTTTGACGCAGCCGCGCGTCTCCGAGACGCAGCTTTCACTGACGCTCACGTAACGTACCTGTAACCGGCTACTACGGTGTGAAAACACACGTAAGTTTATTATGAGAGTGATTGCGAGTTGATTCGGGTATACTTTTAAAGGTTTTAATGGTACCTGTTTTTTATTTATAGACATCCCATAAACATAGAAAAACAATGTTATGATATGATGATACTTAACAAATCATTATTAACTAAAACTAAAAATTGATAAATAAAAAATTGAAACAAATTTGAAAAGTTTGGTTCCTGTGGCAGTGTACCTTTACTCGATGTATTGCGATATTTTTAATTGACATTGAATCGAATGATATGTGCTGGGTGAATCAAGATTTACAGAATACGGGAACCGAACTCAAAATATTAGGAACTATATTTTATCCAGCAACTATACCCAATATTAAAATCGAATATTTCTGGCGTTAGACGCGCGTTTCAGTTCTATATACGTTTTCGTATCTTTACATTTTGTGCGTCGTAACGCGTACTAATAGTAGTAACAATTCTATGACGTGCGTACGGATATCCGTCCGCTCCTGAAGGATTACACAGGTTAGATAACTAAGCTTTAACTAGCTTAAGCTAGCTTTTACTAAGTACTTAGCATTACATTAAAGTTCTTGAGCCAAATAGGCCTAGAAATTTAACCAAGGAAACTGTCCTTTCAGTATAAAATTTTTTTAGCTACGTAATGGTGAAATAAAAATACATATGCAGATTATCAATAAGTTATTGAAACATTGATAATGTTATTGACAATAACATTATCAATCAGTTAGGGAAATTGGAGTCTTGATTATATTACCACTTATAATTAACTACCTGTTCACTGCAATCTTTATGTTCTTTAAGGATTGTTAAACAAAATTATTGGATATTTTCAATTGTCAATTGTCAAGTCTCTTTGGCATCAGAGGGTGGGTAAAGCAAATACTATCGCTGAAACTTCTGATTTCTATTACCAAACGATTTTCATCGGGGATAAATTTTACAAACAATTAACCCCGCATTATTTATGAACAGATATATCAGTTGTATGAATAGATGGAGAGAACAGTTAGTTTTAAATTATAGTTAGCAAAATTGTGACAATTTTTTTTATGTTAGCAAGTAATTTTTATAAATGATATCACTAATATACTTATATTTTCGTATTTTAAATATCTTGTCCCTAAATTAAATTTTGACAGTTCACTTCACATTAACTAAACATGCCCTGCATCTATATACACTAACGCCTTTTTCCACAAGGAGTAGGCAGACACCACGGATCTTCACTTGCTACAATCCTAGCAAACCTCTCTCGCTTCAGCCACTTTAATGACATTCGGCATGTATGCTACCCTTCTCTAGTACGTCCTGGATTTGGTCTAGGTATGTACGACAAGGCCTATCCGACCTGATCTTACCATTTAAGATTACCTTTGTTTAATGATGGACTACCCAACACAACAAAATATTCAATTCCTAAACTAATTTTTCATACTTTCGCAATGCTTTTCATTGATGGGTCCTATTAATGGTAAAATGCCACTGTTCCTGGCAGATAATGTAGCTTTAATATTCAAAATCGTCTAAATTATTATTTTATTGGTAATGTACATTACCAATTAAAGATCTAATCTATTATAAATAAAAAAATAAAATAGAAATAGGCAGAAATAATGTAAGAGTCTTTCCTCCAACTTCGATTTTGTTCCCTTTGGATTACTCTTGGGTGGGGTTCAAGTGCACAGGCGCTTGTTAAAGATTTAAGTTGACTCCTGGTAGATAGTACCGGTAACTCCAGAGCTGGCACTTTCCTGGCTCAACGAATAAGTATCGCAATACAGCGAGGAAATGCTGCCAGCGTTAAAGGAATACTGCCACAGGGACCAAACTTTTTAAATTTGTTTTGATTTTCTTTTTAATAATTTTTATTATTACTTTGTAGGTTAAGAAAATTGTAAATACTGTATACATGATTGTAAATAAATATTATATTATAGATATTTTAATAGATTGCCAAGTTATAATTATGTATTAATGATCTGTTATTATATTATACTAGCTGATTAGGCAAACATCGTTTTGCCATGTATATCATTTATAATTAAAAATAGGGGTTGATCGTAGAGGGGTGAAAATTAGGGGTTGTATGTATTTTTTAATGCTGTATCATAAAAACAGAAAAAAATATCTAAAAATAAAAAAAAATATTTAGGGGTGGACTACCCTTAACATTTAGGGGGATGAAAAATAGATGTTATCCAATTCTCAGACATACCCAATATGCACACAAAATTTCATGAGAATCGGTCAAGCCGTTTTCGAGGAGTTTAACTACAAACACCGCGACACGAGAATTTTATATATTAGATTATCCGCAAAGCAGGTGGACTAAACGGCTTAAATATATGACTCTTTCCTCCAATTTTGATTTTGTTCCCTTTGGAGCAGAGACTTAGTTTACAAGTGCAGGCGCTAATTAAAATTTTAAGTTGGTGCCTAGTACCGGTGTCCCTAGAGCTGGTGCTTTCCTCGCTCAACGAATAATTATCGCAATACAGCGATGAAAGGTACACTGCCCCTAACCAAACTTTTAAAATATGTTTTAATTTTGTGTTTATTCATTTTTATTTGTTATTATTACTATGTAGTTTAATAATTTTGTAAATAATTTATCAATGTGGATAAAAAATTGTGTAGAAAAACGTACCAAACCTAGCTCGCTTTCCAGCGACCGGATGCAGAGACTTGCGGGGTCAGAATACCGCGAATATGTAAAGTGATTACAAAATGTACAAAAAATAAAGCTATATTTCAATAGAAAGTTTTTGACAAGGAGATTCCATAACTATACATTTACATAATATTTACGCTTACAAAATACAAGCGAGCCGCCCGGACTTCGGACTTTTTCGAAATTTTGGTTTAAAGCAGTTAAGATTCACAATCTTCTACATATATATTCACAAAAACAATTGGCTGTGTCAAAAATTAATCTGTAATTGTATGGGAAAGACACCTTTTGTATGGTAATCAAGGTTTATAATAATTTACCAAAAACACTAAAAGACTACTAGAGTTTTTAAAAATCGACTTAATGTATTATCCTATTAGTGGTTATTTGCGTGAATCATTATAATTAATATTAATTTAATAACGTAATAATATATTTTAATATTTTATCACTGCAAATAAGATTAGAATTGAAATAATATATGACTCTTCTAAGTAAAATTCCTTTTAAAACAATTTATCAAAAATAATCCTATATTAACAAGATTTAGTTAAATTCATTCCTTTGCTAGTACTTTTAATCATTTAAGGCAACGAGGCAAATTTAAACAATATAAATGGCCTTTTTTGGACTCTATAATTTAAAGTTACTTTAAGTTCAAGTTTCAATATTAAAATATTACTACAAAGTAAGTTCCTCTACTTTTCTCTCTTGTATCTTTGGTACAAACTTACAAACTTTATATAGTATTTAATAGTATAGTTTTAAAAGGTTATAGTACTTCAAACATTCAGGATAGTGTTTTAGACACAGCACCAATCTGCCAAGAGTTCAAGAGCATCGGTAATTTAAGATCATTTGTTTAAAGATTTATAATGCCTACGTGTAGATGACATATTTCCCCCGCTATTCTCTCAATGCCCTAAGTATTCTAGAACGTCAATCAAACTTAAATCAAGATTTTTTGATTGACATATTTGACTGAGATTACAAGACTAATTAAAATATGGGTTTTTCATAATCTCCGAGTAACAGCCCATTTGCTAAACACTAAGTATTGAAAGACGTGGCACATTATAACTGCGTTGATTATTATTCTGTCATATTAAAATTATAAACGCACAAAATTCGGCAGATCGTTTTATACGCAGACACATAAAATATAATGGGTTTTCGTAAGTAAAATCTTGTATTAGCTGTTCCGTCGAGTTTTCGGAACTTTGCGAAACACTAACAAGTAGTTTAACTGAATAGAGGAGGAAGTAACTGTACGACGACAACACGTCCGCGAATATTCGGTTAGTTTTCCTTGTAGCTTGGATGACTTTCATAAAGACTACAAGAAAAGTCGTAATTAATTATGTATTTGTTCGCGTTAAATTCATTGTAATGTGTACCAAGTCTTTTGGAATTGCCGCCAAGTCACAAAAACAAATGACAAATGAATACTTATATCACATTGACCAATGAGTCTTTATTCGAAATTTAAAAAAAAGTTAAGTTGTTTGTAACTGGCCAGCTCTTAAATACATTAGTGACATAAATGTTTGTATAACTTTTTTCTTTCATAGAGAATAGTCTGGTCTTCCAATTGTAGAAATGTAGACAATGTGTGTTCAATCATTGTTTAATGATGAATGCGTTCGTATTTTATTTAGTTATAGTTTCAACCTTACAGTATATGATAAAAAATGGCTATAGGAAAAACTTTGGGTATAATTGATATGATAAAGGTCGCTGTATCAGCAGAACATTTGGGAACCCTTTAAGTAAAAATACACCTGTGTCAGGGTTACCAGCTCTTCCATAATAAACTTAATAGCAATAGTAGTAAATTCCATTAAAAAAATATATATAATTTAATTAAGTAATCATTACGTTACGGAAAGTTGCATACCTGGGCCACGTGTTGCTACATGACCGCTACAACCTTCTTCAATTAATTATAATGGGTAAAACCCAGGGTATACGGCGTGTTGGTAGAAGGAAGAAATCATGGCTTTGCAACGTTAGGGAGTGGACGGGTATTGCGACTACGGAAGAGTTGCTGCATCTGGCACAGAACAAGACACGCCTCCAGTAATGTAGAGGCATTAAAAAAAGAAGAAGAATCATTAAGTGCTTAATTCGTGTTTCTATCTTATACTGTCGTGAAGCTTTTCGATTGAACTATGCTTTCGATCTTTTGACCTCAAAACCGGACGAAACGTGTATACTGTAAAAAAGAAAGTTTTAGACAAGGACAAAATACATAATATAAACCTGACATAATGTGACGTTTGCGTAAGATTATGCTTAGGCCGAAACAAGTAATACTGGTAATCTTGATTTTTAAAAGTTTTTTATAGAACCTGTAATTGGGTAGGCTTATGTTAAGCTGACCATAGACAATTGCAATACTAGAGGATTAGAAATGCGTTGGCGCACTTTTAAGACATTTATATCGTTTCCTTATCACCAAGTTACTTTTAGGTAGCTGATTCAATAAGTGTCATTATTAAGGTGTGTCAGGTTTAAGAGATTTTTTTAAATTTAATATATAAAATTCAAGTAAGTAATATTTTATACGAAAAATTTTATACTTATTTGCCTTATGTTCTGTTTGTTACATTTACGATCCCAGTTTTTGTATACTAACAATTTTGTGAGGTTGTGGGGAAAATATTATAACACATTACATCATCTATACGATCCGTAAGTCGAAAATAGGAACCGGGTCAAAAACGCTAAAGGAGGTCGATTAGGCTAAGACGAGTTGGGCAACAAATCGGCTGACCGGTTTTGTGTTTCTTCACAATATTTGATCCAAATTCATAATTTCCAACTAAATATCGATTGCTGAATGGATGTGCTAGTGACGTAACGAGCCTACTTACCGACCGGTCCCAGTTAGAGATGGAAATTGTCGATAAACAACGATCGAGTAATATTCGACATAAAATAAAATAAATCAGTGGCGCTACAACCTTTATAGGTCTGGACCTCAGATTTCTGTATGTCTTTAATGATCATCTGTTTATCTCATAGGCAACTAGGTGATCAGCCTCCTGTACACCTCACTTGCCGTCGCCTATGGGTCTAAGGCAAGTCTGAGGTTTTCTTACGATGTTTTCCCTCACCATACGAGTGCGTGTTCAATGCGCACATAGAAGGAAAGTTGGGGATCGAACCAACGACTCCAGTGATGAGAGTCGCACGCTGAAGCCGCTAGGTGTTGGTTTCTCTCAATATTCGATATAACGGTAGATACAATTTCGGAACCACATGGATTTCTGTTGCCTTTTGAACGCATCCAACGAAGACCTAATGAATCGTAGACGGCCTTGTTCTTTAGGATCGGATCCTTTGGTGTTATAGATATAGGCCCTTCTTTCTTCTATCGCATATACCATGAGGATTGTTCAAAAACCTTTTCGGATTAACAGTATCGCCTGTTCGGACGTCGACTTCGTTCGACGTGTTCTACCTTGGCTTCTGACTCTTCCTGCCACCACCATTTCTTGCAACCAGTTGCCAGTCCAGGATTTTCCAAAACGTCACGATTTAGGGGTCTTCAAGATAAAGTCGTATCACATAAAGGCCGGCAACGCAAGCCTCCTGTTGCAGATGTCTATGGGCGGCGGTAAGCACTGTAGGTGCTCTTGTTTGCCTCTTCTCTCCAGATCCTAGATCTCTGAAAGGATCTCTTTCTTCTCTTCTCTTGTCTTCTCTAACTTAAACATGAACGTTCAGTAGATAAGAAAACTGACAATTATATAACATTATTTATTTTAGCTTTAACTGTTATTATTGAGTATTTTCTTATTACATTTTACCCCGTACCACTTCTTTAACCGCCAGAAGAGGCATTTCTGAACCGTAACGACTTAGGGGCCTTCAAAAAAAGAGCGTACCCTGAAAAGTCGGCAACACACCCGCTAGCCCCCAGATGCAGGTGTCTATGAGCGGCGGTTATCTGTCCCATAACAAAATATTGATAGTTCCATCGCTTTGAAGATATTCAACAACGCCATCAAAGGTAATTTATCGATATCGAGGATTAATCTATCGATACGTACATCGGTCTCTATCGTATAATGCAGTAAGTCCACTTTCACTGCCCGCCTCGTTTCCTACTTCGCTAACTGTCGTGTGACGTCACACTGTTTACTCACGCACATCACGTGACCACACTTACATAGTGTCAAAGATGAGCGGGCGGCCTATATTTTGATTTAAAAGCATTTACTACTCTACAGTGACATTAAGATCTAAACCAATATAGGTGCTTTGAATTGAAAAGTTTTACTACGAATTTAAACAATATGAAAAATAAATGAGTGGCGCTTCAGTCTTTTAGGTCTGGGCCTCAGATTTCTGTATCTGTTTCATGATCATTTGTTTCTCTTATTGGCATGTTGGTGATCAGTCTGTCCCTGCCACATGCTTTCTTTTTGGATCTAAGATATGCCCGGTCTCCTAACGATGTTTTTATTTGTACGAGGGAGTGTTAAAAGGACAAATAGAAAGTCAATTGGTGCACAGCCAAGGCCCGAAGGTACGACAGGGATAGAGGCGCACGCTCTCTCACATATAACACTATTATGTATAAAGGAAAACACTAAGTTAAAGTAAAAAGTTCAGATCGTACTCCTCAATACAAAAGGTAAATAATGTATGGATTTTGGGTTAAAATTCTTAAATAATGGGAATACTCTCGGAGCGTTACTCCGACGATTTAGGTAATAATAAAATAGCAGCAACTCATTTTAATACAGCAATTAATTTGTATATACATACATTTTTGTCTCGCAAAACTTAACTGGCTGTACCGAATTGGCTAATTTTGATTATGAAATATTTGTGGAAGTTCAGGGAAGGTTACAATGAGTAATATGTGTAATATCGCCGTTGAGGTTTTTATTGACTGTTAATTTAATTATGTTAATTTGTAATTAAAGTCCTAAACCAATTTTGATATTTTTTGTGAGGGTTCAAGTGGATTCGAGAATCGTTAGTCAGTTAGTTAGTTTTTATTAAAAAAATAGATATGTTTAGTATGGAATATAAGATACAGGTATGTATCACTTATTCCACTTCATTAAATTTGAATAGGTAGGCATCTCATCGGCAAAGAAGACATAGGGTGTAGGCCGAGAGAAAAAGCCGGCGTAAAAAACTCTCGGTACTCTTTTAAAATAGCATATCATCAAACAACAATTATTTTAAAACAAATATCGCAAATTAATTAGAAGTAGCCTGTCTAGCACTAGTGGGGCCCTTTTATCAACTAGATAATCATTAACTTTATAGTAAGCCTTTTTACACAGCTTTTCTATAATATATTTCTTAAATTTATTAAAAGGCTGAGAGAGCCTCTGGTATTTTATTAAAGAAGAGTATCCCTTTTCCCAAAAAATAATTACTAACTTTTGATAGTCTAGTACGGGGAAATTGCAGCATGCGTTTGTTCCGAGTATTAACATTGTGCGTATGTTCTATTCTCGTAAGTATTTAAGACCTACACAGGATAACGTCTGTCGGGTTTGCTAGTCGCTTATAAAACTACGAAAGCCTCAGTGAGCAAAATGTACAGCCTAATCTCTCTCTTTTTCTCTCTCGAGATCTTGAACTCATTTGGATGTATATTTATATAAAATTTATTTTGAGTAAAACTAACTAACTAACTAATTTGTATAGTAGCTCTGTTTTGTGTGTGTGACATTGTTTGTATATATGTTCTTTAATATTGTGGAACATTTTTTTCTCCTATCATCAATAGTTTTCGCAGCGCATGCGATGAAAGATATTTTATAGGCATTTTTTTACACCTTGGGTAACATTATTGTAGTTTTGTATCCGTATTTTTTTCTAGCAATTAAAATATATATAGCCTATATTAATCAGCAAATGTAGCATTCGCATGGTGAAAGAATTTTTAAAATCGGTCCAGTACTTTTTGAGCAAATTCGATACAAACATACTTACATACAAATCTTTCCTCTTTCTAATATTAGTATAGATAAAGAACACGTGATATTTACATAAAATTATCGTCAGATATATTTCATAATTCTAATAATGGAATTGTTACTTTATCAATAATAATAAATTTGCCTCTTCATAATATTGCAATGTACAGGTTTACATCCTGCAGGTATTGACAGGTAGTAACAAGTCACCTTCACCAGCCCATGACTAAACTAAAGTAACAAACAAAATAAAACTAAATCGTGAGTAGTTGTGTGTAGGGAATGCAATCCCGATCCCGCGGGATTCTGATCTCGCGAGATCCCGTGTCATTTTTCGGGATCAATCCCGAAGCATAATATGACGAGATCCCGTTCGAGATTGACGGGATTGGGAGATACTGATTTAGTTAGTGCAGAACATACGTTGCGTTTCGTTATTCGAAAGCTAGAAGACCTAGAAACTACTCTCTCAGAAAAGTTGGTCCCTTCGATAAAAAATCTAAAAAATCCGATTAATTTTCAAGATGATTTGGAGCAATGGAAAGGCAATGAGACTTTCCAATTGCCAAGCAAATATCTAAATCGAAGAAATCAAAAAATATAATCACACTATTATAGAGATTAATAGAGAGTAGTAGGAACAAGTAGAAATTAATACATAGTATTAAACGAAGATCACTTGCCACTTTCTATGATTGCAGAGAATTTAAATATGTATAAATTCTACTGCTACACAAACTAATACATCACTTCAAGAGGAATTAGAAGAAACTCTCCGAAACGCTAGCTTAGACAAATTAGAGTCAGTAATACAAAAATAAATGGATTTTTTGAGTGTGGAGGAACAAGGGGGCGATTTTTTCAGTTTATATAATATAATTGCTTATTCACGCTGTTGCCAACCAGTGTTGAGTTGGAGAAAGCATTCTCAGCAGCTGGGTACATCGCAACGAACATTAGGTGCCGGTTATCAGATAGCACTCTTGATACACTTTTTTTAAACAAGTTACTTCAAAATGTACTACTTTTTAATATCCTTAAATAATATCTTCTTTTGTTTTGATTATGTTAAGTTCGTAAAACTGTTAATTATTAAGTTAGTACTAAAGGCCTTTGTTTTCTTTCAAATAATATTTTGTTTTAATTAACCTCATTATGACAAACAAGCAGTTTTCATCATATTCAATCATGTGAAATTCACATTTTTTTAAACATGACGAGATCTCGAAAATCTCGGGATCCCGCTGGATTGATATTTCTAATCCCGCGGGATCTCGAATTTACGATCTCGAGTCGGGATTGCATTCCCTAGTTGTGTGTGTGTTGTGTAAGGATGTGTGAGTTAAACGTTAATACCTGATAGATATTAAAATTAGTATCTGACTGGCACTCTGTGAATCCAGCGATTCAATTCCAACTTCAATAATGAGTTTGTGTACTTAAAAGTCACATCGATACCTAATGAAAGAGATTCAAAATTTATAAATTTTTAGTATAAATTTACAATAGACGAACCTGACGCCCGATGTCCAAAACATAGACTCAAACATTGAAATCGCACAGAGCAGATAATACCTATTTATAATAAATGATATATTTTCTCTCAATGGTTCATGTTAGGAAACAAACATGCAACTATTTATTACTCTACGGATATGCTTTTACAATCTGCGTGCGCGTTGAACTCTTTTACAAGAAAAGTAGACATATAGTACACCAGTACAGGGAAACTTGATACTGGAAATTTTGAAGGGTCATTCCTTATAAAACAAAAGAGTTAAGAGAGAAGAAAACTATAAAATATTCATCCGCTGAACGTGAAAAAACGTTCAAAGTTCAAAAACTATGCGTTATTCTAATGCTAGAAAGAAGAATAGAAGCGAGTATAAATTTTTTCACAAATGATTTCATGATATGGTAGAGTTTTAAATTAAAGCAAAACTTAATATTTTTACTTCGTTATCGGCAATTTTGTAATAGAACAACATATGTTACACATTAGAATTCACGCCATCCTACGACAAATGTAAAGTCGAGTTCATTAAAAAGTAAAAGCCTCTTTGGGTATTCCGCAATATAACAATAGATGACGCTCATACAAGAATGTATACTAACTACCGAAATTATTAATTAAATATTGTAATAAACATACATTTCTGGAAATTGTTGATAACTAATTCTTTAAAACCTGAATTAAATTCATCGCAGTATAGCGCCATCTCTTGGCGTGTAGTATCCAATAATTGGTCATTCTTACGCAAAGTAACCAACGGGTACATTTCGTCAGATAAATTTGGTAACTCTGGGCCGAATGTCTCAACCCAACAGGTTTCAGATCATATAATTAATGTAAAAGAGATTTCATGGCCACAACCTACATGTACATATTACTCAGTAAATATTTCAAAACATTTTATTTAAGTCCTGTTAGTAGCTCACCTTGAATCCACAGTCTAACCTCATCTCCTGTACCAGGAAGCCATCATCAGATGAAGTAATTATCTGGCTAACCTACATATACCTACATATACTAAAGACGAAGAAGAACTTGGTGTGCACGAAGCTTAGATATTTTTTATCCAAAAATTAAATTGTTCATGGCATGTTTATTTAAAAAAAACAAATCATTATGTAGCGCTACAACCTTTATCTTTTTTGCGTCTGGGCCTAAGATTTATGTATCGGTTTCGTGATAATTCGTCAAAGTCAAAGTCGAAAATCATTTATTCATATTGGTAAGACAATGTACACTTATGAAAGTTAATAAAGAAATATACATTAAATGCTTCTAATTTCACATTTACTGCCAGTTCTCAAATCAAGGGTGTAAAACGGAAGAGAAGAACTGGCAATAAACTCTTTTTAATCGCCAAGTTTTTTAAACGTTGTGTTTTACAC